GGTTCGGAAAATGAATGAATGAATGAATATATATATATCGTTGTTCCTGACTTGCTGTGCTATTGTGTGGGATGTGGGAGCTAAGCTACTCGCATACATATTGAATGACTCACCCATAACAATAATAATCATAAAAAAAAAGTCTCACATAGCTCCCATCGTCACTTTGCTTGCAGGTTCGTGTTTTGACAAGAGTTCTGCGACATGGGCAGCGTTGTCCCGCGTGGCTGCCCTGTGCAACCGAGCCGACTTCAGAGCCGGACAGGAGGAAGTCGCCATCTTGAAGGTGTGCAAACTTTCAAAGCACACGAATAACAGACACACTTTTAATTTTTGTCGGGACATTTAAGATGGAAGACACTCCAATTTGTTCATTGAGCATGTGTTAGTATTTGATCCAATTTTGTATGTTTTCAGACTTCAATTACCGGTAAGTAACTTGTAACACATCAGAAAATGCACAAAAAAGTAAAAAGAGATTTTTGAAAATGTCTTATTTTGTTTGAATATAAATATAATCTGTTTGCTTTCATTGGGAAACACAGAAATTACTTGGGAGGCCGAAATCAGAGGATATGGACAAGTTTTTGTCAAACACGTCTCTAAACAATCAGTTAATTATCAAAAAAGTTTTTGATTAATTTAATCATTGATTAGTTGTCAATTAATCGAATTTTTGCTCAGCTAGAGCACAGATGTAAAATTATTATCGTGCTTAGTAGTTTTCATTAAAATTAGTAGCTACCTGGCGAGAAGGCAAGGCACGATCATTATTGATCTGCATTAGCGCTAGCTGTGCTGAGGTTGCTTTGTTGCTATTAGCATACCACATGTTAGTATTATGGGTCTCGATTGGGCTGTTAGCATCTTGGCTGTTAGAGTGCTAGCCATTGCCCTTTCGTTGTGTGCCAAATGTAGACTTGCATGAATGCACTAAGAATGCCACTTAGGCGCTGAAGCGAGAAGTGAAGTCACCAGCTGCCATTTTACATTGTCACTCGCTAAGTACGCCTACTTTTTTGTCTTTATGACAAAAATGCCACGGTGTGCGGCGTACAGTTGTACCAACAGGTCTGAGAAAAGCGGAACATACACATTTCATCGGTGCGGATGCGATTAGAATTTTTTTTCTGATAAGTTATATCTCCGGGTGTTACTCGTAAGAATTGTCTGAATTATGTTGTCAGAACCATCAACAATGAAATGAAAAAACAATGGTGTGACAAACAAACCCAAACTCATGAGACTCAGATAAAACACTGATAATAGTCTTTTCAAAGAAAAGTGAACAGTTGTCAATAACAGTGACAACATAAGATGGATCCCCTCTTGTTTCAGCTGCAAGGGGCCAATTGTTAGTCCGTCATATATAAATCCGTGGTGCCAAAGTTAAAACGGCTGTACAGAGTCAAAGAAGCCCAACTCCAAATCTGGTAAACATTAAAAGGAAATGGAACATTATGATCACAAAGTATTCCACTCGGATGTTGTTCACCATTTAGCTTTTTTCCCTCTTACTCTCATGAGTCTCTCAGAGCTCCACAGGTGTCGGGAGCCAATTAAAAGTGCATAAAATGCGTTGGTACTTTCACACTCAAATGCAGAGTGTCAGTAGGGAACAGACAAGCCTTCCCAGAACTCTATTATTAGGATCTAAATAGCACTTAAATAGAGCTGCCGCCGGAGTGGACTTTAATTGCTTTACATAACACTGTAAAAATCAGCCTTTTCAATAAGACGTCATTAGATTTTATAAGTACATAATAGGCTATGTGGATAATGTATGAATACAAATGAATCATGTTGCCGAGTAAAGGAAATGGACGCCCCCACTTATCCGGTCACGTTATCAAGAGTCTGGTAATATTTTTTATATTGATTTAGTTGCTTCCTCCTAAAATTTAATTAATTTAAAAATGTACATTTTGTATTACAAAATAATTGATTAATTGACATAGTATAAGGTCTAAAAACTTAAAACAATTTTACATATGGTTGTATCATGTTTTATTTTTTATGAATAATTGGGTAATTGATTTATTGTAAATCATACAAATTCAAGAAAAAATATTTTTCATAGAAATTATTAAAACAAATTTATTTTTGGATTGTCAAAAAAAAGATCCAATTGATTACAACATAGTAAACATTTTACATGTACCTTTATCATTTCATATGTATTTAAATTATAATTTATTTAATCTTTCTACCATAGCCTTTTCTGTACTCCGGTTGCTAGCTTGCTATATACTTTGTATTAGCAAGCTAACTGCTAGCATCTTAGCAGTTGTTAAATCCCCTTTTAAAATGTTTGACTGAAGAGCCTATCCCGAGAGTATGATTAACTCAAGCGCTATATAAATCAGGATGTATTGTATAACTCCCCAACTGTTAGCATGGTAGCTGTTAGCATTTTTGCTACCATGGTTGATCTTTTTTTTTGTACACTTTGTTGTTGAGAATGTCATCTTTGTTCATTCTTTATTGATGTTAACATTGTCATAAAGTGCAACATTTGTGGCCTGACTGCAATTCTTGGTGATGCAGATGTTAAGCTCTACTTTGCATTATTAATGAGAGGCATAATGCGAGTGAACAACCCTCTCCGTGGGTGCAACTTTAATCAATTAAAGAACACCCGGAGACAAAAGCTTCCGCTGCACCATGACAAAGACAACTCTCCTTTCTGGCTGAATTGCTAATGTCTGTGCGTGTGTGTGTGCGCATTTCCTGCAGCGAGAGACGGCGGGTGACGCATCTGAATCGGCGCTGCTAAAGTTTATCGAGCTTTGTTGCGGCAATGTTGAAAAGATGCGAAGCCTCAACGGCAAAGTGGCTGAGATCCCGTTCAATTCCACCAACAAGTACCAGGTAAAACACAACATTGTTAAAAAAAGTACTCGGTACAACTTGACATTTTACATTTTTAAAAACTGCCAACAAGTTTCAGGTTGCAACAAGGCTGACTTGTCCTCATTACTCTTTAGGATTTAATTATAAAGCAGCTAATGAAAACACAAAGGCTCTGTTGCGTGAGAAGACCTCTAGGCATGACCAATCGATCGAATCGGATCAGCCGCTAGGTCCCGCCCAGTTGCTTTGATTCACTTTAATGGATGTCGTTATTTAGTGGTGCTCTTTCCCTCCCAGCGGGGGGCTTAAAGTAAAATGCGTGTCCGCGTAAATATTTAACATTTAAATCATTTATTATCCTTGATGTCAATTTCATTTGGTGGCATGCCGCAGCATCACGGAGGACAACGCCGATTTATTTATGCTATCTCATTGCTACCCACCCTGCCCCAACCCTCTCGTCTCCTGAAGCTCTCCATCCATAAAGCAGAAGACAGTCCTTCCGGTCATATTCTGGTCATGAAGGGAGCGCCGGAGAGAATCCTGGACAGGTTGGTGCATCAATAATGGATCAATGGCAGACTCATGGAGACACAGTGTGGAAAAAGACTGGAAAGTTGCCCTGGCCTTTATTCTCTGAAATGGCCAGTGAGAGGAATCGCTTCCAGAAGGTGTTGCCACAGTCATAGGCCTGTGCAGACCAAACTAGACGATCAAATCCTCATGTTTTGAGTCTGGATACACGACAAGTTGTGAAATCAAAGTAAAATACAGTCAAGCACTGACTGATTTTGAAACACAGTTTCAGTTTTATGTATCAGAAGGATATTTACGTTTGCTTGAATGGCCGGCCGACATTGCCCTTTTTTTTTTAAAGGCTGAACCCAATATTTGGCCAAATCAAATTGCAATAACAGCTTAATCATCTGATTCATTAAAAAAAAATTATACATGTGTGTGTGTGTGTGTGTGTGTGTGTGTGTGTGTGTGTGTGTGTATATATATGGATATCTATCTATCTATCTATCTAGATATAGATATTCTTCGCAGAGGATCAATACCATATGCCTGTATATGTGTGCGTGTGTGTATATGTATACACACACACACACACACACACACACACGGAAGGAGCCAGGATCAAACCCACGAGCTCTCTCTCTGTCTCACTCTCTCTCACTCTCTCGCTCTAAAAATGTATAAAATTAATAGAATAACTTTTGTTTTTTTTCTTCGCGCTGAATTACAGGTAGAACATTTGAATGTCATTATACTTGTCTTATGTTGTCATGTCTAAAAAAAAAAAAAAAAAAAATATCCCAATTTTAAAAGACCTAATATCGACCAATTAAATGGGGCGGCCATTTAATCAGTTGGGCCCCAGTTATTATATAATGGGCAAAAGGGACTCATGCTGGACGCCAAAGTACGTCACTGAGCTCCATTTTGGTCATGCCCCCCCCACCCCCCAAAAAAATCAGCAAAACTGAAATGCTGAAAAACTGTTTATTACAGCTGCACAGCTCAGTATATACTTGTCAGTCTTAAGATTTGCAGACAGTTTGAACTATCGCCTCCCTACATCAGTCTCATTAGCAAATGGGTGGTGGTGGCTTTTTTTCCCCTCCCTTCTTTATTTTTCTCTAGGTGCAGCAGCATCATGATCCACGGCCAGGAGCAGACCATAGACGACAAATGGCGGGACGCCTTCCAGAACGCCAACATGGAGCTGGGCCGGCTGGGAGAAAGAGTACTTGGTTGTGTTTTTGTTGTTTGGGCAGTAGATACTAGAAAGCATGTGTGAGGCGGGAGGGGCGTCCATTATCTTTTATCATCTCCTCGGCTAAGAGGCTAGTTGAGCTAAATGTCCCTCGTAAGAAGTGCACCGTGTTTATCGCTGCACTTTATCCAAATGAGAACACTCGCTGCTCGGGCTCGGACGGAGCCAAACGCTGAGGAGACACAAAATGTTGGAGACACATTTATAGCAGCTGCACACATTTATCACCTGCAACGTAAATCTGTTGTAAAAAGACTTAAAGGCGATGGCAGACGACGCCATTGATTAGTCGTGCAAGAAATCACACTTTGGATGCAAAACATCGCAATAAATTCCAAACCTTGACAAAGCCCAGACGCTTTTCTTCAACCAACAATATTTGATTACAAATTTTTGGTTTCGCAAAGTTATGTATGTGAATTTTGTATTTTGTTGACATTTTTTAAATTAATTTGTCCTAATTTTTTTCCTAATTATTCATGATGTTTTTATTTTAGATACATTGTGTGTGTGTGTATATATATATATATATATATATATATATATATATATATATATATATACACCTGTATATTAAATATTTGTTCCTACAAGTAAAAATATAATTGAATAATCAAATTAATATTTTAACAAATAAATCAATAATAAAAATTCATTCAATTAGATCAGGTTTTGTTTATTTTTTTCGCTAAAAAGGATCTTGCATTTAAAAATATACACAATACATCGCTTATATTTAAAATACAAATATTATTGAATTATGTTACATTTTATTTAGTTTATTTTTCACTGCTTATATAAAGAATATAAAATGTTTAAATTTGACGATGGGCAAAAAATGTTGGTGCTTTTTTGTTATATAATTTATTTTCCAAGTTTGTGACTATTTTTTAGACTTTAGGTCAATGTTTCTTAGTGTCGTCCAAGTACCACTAGTTGTACATAGTCTCACTCTAGTGGTGAGAGAAAGAATCACTGGCATAGTACAGTTCAGTTATATTTAACTTTTACGTTCCACACATTTACATTTAATCTCATTTATTTCAGTACATTTTGGGGGTTTTCTCATATTAAGGCAGTGGTTGATGTTCAAACTGTTCATAATGTTATGGTGCCTTACAATGATATTAAAAGTACTTTTTAGGAATAAAACCGCAACTGTATTAGTTAATGTGGGTCATGATAGGGGACTTGGAGAGCTGCAGTGAAGTATTTTATTGGAAACTTCAAGAAGCACTTATTCAGCAGACTGAAAATACTACTTTGTATTTTCAGTCTGGATGGCAAGTGACTTTTTGGCCATCCATGATGGATTTCCCATCCCAGCAACAGTCTGGTGTCTCTTTTTGTGCGCGTCTCAGGCTTCTGCCACCTGAACCTTCCGCCGTCTCAGTTCCCCCGAGGGTTCGCCTTCGACTGCGACAACTTGAACTTCCCCACCGAGCAGCTCTGCTTCCTGGGCCTTATCTCCATGATTGATCCACCGCGCGCCGACGTACCCGACGCTGTGGGTAAATGCCGCTCGGCTGGCATCAAGGTAATTGTTTTTTGTCTTCTGTCGAAAGGAAAGCCGTTTTCCCGTGGTGTCATTTAAATACTGATGAGAAGTGTGATCAACTCTTGAAAGGCTCCCTGGAGACTCGGGGCCTGTCAAATAATATACATATAATATACATATAGATGCGTTCATTTCATTACTTTTGTGGGGTAGCATGCGGAATGCAAATAAACATGTGGGTGGATGATGACACATGTTGCATTTAAAGCTCAAGCATCGAAGATTTTCCTCACAGTTTGAGGGCTTTCTGTGATGTTGCTGAAAATGAAAGTGAAGCGTGTCACCAGGTTTCCTCCGCGGGTGTTCTACTCCTGCAACACTTTGTAGGCCCCGGTCGGCGCGTTATCGTGACGGACGGCAAGTGTTGATATCTGTGTGAACGACTGCCTGTGGAGGAAGCAGACCACAGTCATACTCCCAAAAATGACAATAACCCACCTTCCTTTGATGATTGGAATGGCAGGGTCAATTCCTTTGTTTTTGTCATATTCCGAAGACATTTGCGTTTTAGATCAAAGGTGAATATGTGACAATATTTGAGAATTACAGCTTTTATTTCATGCTATTGACATTTGGATGCGTTCAACAACTCGAGACAGAGCGTATTTCTTTTGAAGCCACCCACTTTTCAAAAGAGCAAATATATTGGAATGGATATTATCGAATTCAGTTAAAGAAAATAACATTTACTATTGGGTGGTATAACCCTTATAATAATGCATCAAGCCTGCCCCCCCGTCCCCCATTGAATTTGCATTCTTCATTTGAAATGCTTTTCCAGACCTTTACGAATGCCTGAAAGAGGCTTCTTGTTTGTTTCTGGGGCTTTCTCCCTTCACTCTCCTGTTCAGGAGGACAAATGCATCCTCTATTGGGTTTAGGTTTGGTGATTGACTTGTACAGTCTTAAGACCTTTGTAAAACTTCATCCAGAGCATCGAACGACTTTTAGGGTTGTCCCTAAACCGGAAAGAGGAAGCTAAAAAATACCCGAGTGGACATTAAGTCATGCCGTTTTGTTTATGATTAAAATCCACCCACTGCTTACCTCCCAACTCCTCACAAAATTCTAAATGATCACGAACCAACAACATACATCATACCCGACGCCGTTGCGACAGCCCTCCGTTTGTTCACAGCGCAGCTTTGGCCACACATCAGTCATTTCTCAACAAAGCACTTGTGCCGCTAACAGCTCCATTCTTGTCAATTGAGCTGAGCGATGGGCCCTGAAGGCATCATGCCGCATCAGTTGTACGCGATGTAGTCAAGTTGAGTAATGCTGTGACGATGATGTGCGCTCAGGTGATCATGGTCACCGGCGACCACCCAATCACGGCCAAGGCCATCGCCAAGGAGGTGGGCATCATCTCCAAGGGGAGCGAGACGGTAGAGGACATCGCTGAGCGCCTCAACATCCCGCTCAACCAAGTGAACCCCAGGTATGTCGTTTTTTTGGTTTCATCTCCAGGGCGCCATGGCTGTTTTTGGAGTTTTTCCAAGACATGTCGTAGTTCAGCTGATATATTTATTTATATTTTTTGTTTTGACTTGCAATCAATTTTTTTTCTATTATTATTGTCAAGAAATGTTTTTACTTGACTTTCTCTTGAAATTACATTTTTGTGTTTCGACATGTGAAATGTCACAATTTCAGCTCTACCCACTTTGATCTTTTCTTCAATACTGTGCACACATTTTGGCTTGCTTTTCTCCCTGCTCCTTTTGAGGGCACAAAGCAAGGAACAGAAAACTGTATAGGTCAGAGAAACTGCTATTTTGATTGGTGGAATGGGCTAAAATGTCACGAGTTAAGTTTGACTGATGAAACAGAATGATGTGACAGGAAGTCAATCAAGTACAAATAGCGTATGTTGCATAAGAACTACCACACAATGGATTCATACTCTACAAAATAAACTTGCCTCGCTATACATGTGTGTCACAGCCCTCTTTGCCTTGTTTTCTCCTCCCAGGGACGCCAAGGCCTGCGTGGTTCACGGTTCGGACCTGAAGCACATGAGCTCAGAGTACCTTGATGACGTGCTGAAAAACCACACCGAGATCGTGTTCGCTCGCACTTCGCCCCAGCAGAAGCTCATCATTGTGGAGGGATGCCAGAGACAGGTGGGAGCGAGCAAAAAGATCCATATAACTTAGTGCGTCTTGTGTTCAACGTCAGAGGAAAACCCAAAATCTTCATTCAGACTGAAGTAAGTGTGTGTGTGTGTGTGTGTGTGTGTGTGTGTGTGTGTGTGTGTGTGTTATTTGCCCTTCAAGAGACCATATTTTTGCTTGAGGTCTCAATGTGTGTCCATGTGCGTGTATGTGTGTATAAGTATTCCTGTCCATTTGTACTTGTTGAGACCATGTTTTGTGTCAGGGCCCAGCCCAAATGTGTGCGTATACACGTGTCAGTGCTCTTGCTCATGTGTCCTTATGGACTGTGTGTTAATGTTCTTGTGCATGTGTCCTTAATGAATATTGTGCGAGTGTGGGTTTGTGTGGTAAGAATGTTCATGCACATGTGTGATTATGCAGTGTGCTTATGTGTTTGTTTTTTGTTCATCTGTTTGTGTGTCTCCATGAGTGTGTTTACATGTTCTTGTACATGAATATTCATGGCGAATATATTTTAAGATCCACATAGATCGACATGAGATATTCATAAGGATCAGACTGTGTGGGCGTGTGTGTTAGGGAGCCTGAATGTTGTCGTCTTTGGAAAGCATGTGGCTGCACACCAATGTGACCATTCAATGGAAGAAGTTGTGTGTGTTTTGAATGCACTTGATTGTCTAAACTGGGCATTGCGAATGAAAACAAGTGTGCGTGTGTGTGTGTGTGTGTGTGTGTGTGTGTGTGTGTGCGCGCGCGTGTGTGTGCGCGCCTATTATTTTAGGTCCTCGTCTTATTGTCAGAATGTGTGTTGGCAGTAATGAATGGCTGGTTGAACATAATTGTGTACGTGTTATGTTTTTAATCTATGCCTGTGGCGTCTGTACACGGCCACACTTGAGGTCAAGCTCCAATTCCCCTCTGGACTTCCTCTCACTGTGCCTGCTGAATGATTACGACTCAATTCCATTCCTCATTTAATCTCCCCAGAGACTCTCTCGAAAAGACGTTATTAAGAGGAAAGTGCGGGGGCTTAAATCATGCCACTTATCTCACTCTTCTTGGCACTTTTTCCGCCATCTGGGGGCGCACAGGGGGCCATTGTGGCCGTGACGGGTGATGGCGTCAACGACTCGCCAGCCCTGAAAAAAGCCGACATTGGCGTCGCCATGGGGATCGCCGGCTCAGATGTGTCCAAGCAGGCGGCTGACATGATCTTGCTGGACGACAACTTTGCCTCCATTGTCACCGGCGTAGAGGAGGGTGAGTGATTGGCAAGGCCAGGAAGTGACTCATGGGAAAGGGTTGATGGCCTTATTTCATTAAAAAATAAATAAATAAAAACTTTTCACAGTTCAACACCAAATTTGATGCATAGCATGATAGAATCCCTGAAAACGTCTCAAGGACCAATACATAACATTTGACTAGAAGTCCACCATTTTGGTTTGAAGCAGTCATCTCACACTATCAAACCACCAGGAGAGTTGGAGAAACAATTATCCCTGGCCATGAGCTTTTTGGGCCGAAACAGAATTTTGTGTACCTGTCTATCATAACACGGTGCTTAAAATCTCAAGAATCCATGCTTAAAATTGATTTTGGTTTGAAGCAGTCATTTTGCATTTAGTCGCAGTCCTTGAGAAGTTTTAAACAAATTACCCCCTGACGGGAGTGTCTTCAATCAACACAAAATTGGGTGGTCAGATTTACCATACCAGGATGCATGAAAAAGTCTCAAGAGTCCATGCATAGAACAGGAAGTTGACCGTTTTGGTTTCAAGCATTCCATTCACATTCTGTCGTACCCAGTGCATCTGGAGAGCAGGGGGGCCCAACCTTTTTTGACCGAAGATCTACTTTTCGATCAACCAACCTCCCGCGATCGACTCGTTCCCGCACACGCACGCATTTACACACGCATGCCATCATGAGCAACAGCCATAATGGGGAGCCACTAGGGCGGCGCTAAAGAGCATGCGGCTCTGGAGCCGCGGGTTGCCGATCCTCGATCTATCATAACAGGACGCATGAAAAAGTCTCAAGGACCCACGCTCCAAAAGTAAATGGAAAGCTTTTCGGTTCCAAGCAGCCATTTTTGGCAAAATCCAGGGTTGGGACTTCCTCCCAGCGAACTTGGGTAATTGTGCCCACTAGTGAAACAGACATACGAGACCAGGTGATGACCACATGAGTGGCCTCCCGGCCTGGTCTAAGAATTGTTCAGCAGTGATGGGACATCGTGGTTTCCTAGGAACATGATGGTTTTAAAATGTAAACAGTTGTCGAGATTTTTGCAAATAATGTTGCATGTTGATATTTATCTGTTAAATGATTGTTGGCAATTACTGTGAGAAGTCATTGAAATGATCAGCGTCTTCACACAGATGAATGTAAAAATTATGCATAACATCTCATTCATGGTAATTTGAGCCAAGTTATTTCACAAGTGTGTATCAAACTGTTCCTTGGCCCTTCGCATTAATCAGTAGCTAAGACGTAGCTCTCGGTTTCAAAAAGTTTAACCCTTGCACTCGACAAATGGGCGATGGTAAATTGCGAAGTATTTTAGCCTACACCGTAGGATGTGGGTGTAGCCTTTGACACCAGTTTTACGAATAAACATTAAATTTTGTGTGGGTTGTAAACGTTGCAGTTTTAGCTTCTAAAACTGTGCATGAAAACATGCCGACTGAGTGAGCTAACACAGAGGTTTTCTGAAAGTCACAATAGTGAAACGCTTCTCCAGTGTATTAAAAAAAAAAAAAAAAAATCCCAGATGGCGCAGGGATGTGTTGCATGAGCACAGAGCTTGCATATTTATGATCAGGACTCACACACAGAGGGGACTTTATGCAAACAACAATATAAAGAGCTTTTGAAAGGAGAAGGGGGCTGAGACTTTCCACAGGAGACTGGCGTTTAATCTAAAGTGGCGGCGGCTGCGGCTAATAAAGTCACCCACTCTGGAGGGAGACGCTGTGCATTTTCAATTTACTTCGAGTCTCAAACACTGGGAAAAAGAAAATCCCGACGTTATTGCAAGGGTTGTTATCCCACACTGATGTCTTTATCGCTGCAGGGCGGCTCATCTTCGACAACCTGAAGAAGTCCATCGCGTACACGCTGACCAGCAACATCCCCGAGATCTCGCCCTTCCTGCTCTGTATCCTCGCTGACGTTCCCCTTCCGCTGGGAATCGTCACTATCCTCTGCATCGACTTGGGCACGGACATGGTGAGTGGCGGGAACATCATCAGAATAATAATGAAGTATGCAAGCAGTGGAGAGAGAACAGGACCTCACACTTTTTCATGGCGAATCCTCAAAACCATCATCAAACTTAGGCGCCACGCCCCAGCTTATTTGTATAACACACTTCATGTGCACGACAATCCAAAGTGCTTTACATTAAACATGAAAGGCATTACAGAGAGAGAAACATATTTCGACATTTCAAAAATCATCATAAAATCATCTAAAATACTGTAATTAGATTAAAATGATTCAAACCAAGCATCAGTCTCGATCAGGGGTGGCCATTACGTCGATCATGATCGACAGGTAGCTCGCGGACTGGTCCTAAGACGATCGCGAGGGGTGTTTGTCTCTGTGCATGTTAGTAATATATATTTTTGGTGTTGATGCACACTGCACCCTAATCATCCCATAAGTCTCACTTTCACAAAAAGTATTTAAAAAATAAAATAAAGCAGGTCACCTTTAACTTACAGTGGCGGGTGACCTGCGTCACCGGAAGTTAACGCTCAGGAGTCTGCAATTGCAGCTTGCGATCAGAGCTGTTGCGATATCGTTTTTATTATTATCTTTTTATTATTATTATTATTATCATCAGTCAAAGTTCGTTTTGTGTACAATTCACCGATTGCACTCGCAAATAATGGCAATCTGGAGGGCCGAGAGAAGCATTTTAAAACGGTATGCGTGAGCTACGTTAGTTAACAGGCTGCAAAAGTGCGTCGCAAGACTCCGCGTCAGGTCTCCCACTAAGGTAGGCAGTGATTTTCACAAACTCTTGTCTATTTTTCTGTTTCATTCATCTTAGGGGCCGTTGTGGCTGTTGCTCATCATTGCATGTGCGCATATGGGGTAAAGAGTCGATCGCGGGAGGTTGGTTGATCGAAAAGTAGATCTTCGGTCCAAAAGGTTTGGGGCACCTCTGGTCTAGATTAATCAAAACAAATATCCCGATTTCACGTTGAGAATACTTGCTTCCATTTGGGGCTTATTTGGGCGAATTCCTTAGTAGCAGTGTGACTCAGTACTAGCCCTGGAATTTGCCCAAAATAGCTAGTTCGAACCACAATGGCCAACTTCCTGTTCAGCTCCTAGCATGGGTCCTTGAGACTTTTTTTGTCTGTTCTGTTATGATCCACGCTCACGCAATTTTGTGTGGATCGGAGAAAGCGGTGTCCAAGGGCAAGTTCTTTGAGCTTTCCAAGAGTTGCGACTGAGACCAAAAACTCCATTTGATTCTTAGCATGAGTCATTGATTCTTTTTTTTTTTTTTTGGGTGGGGGTGCATCCTGTTATGCATAACACAGCTGTTGGCTAACTTTTTTCACATTTTCAAGGAAGCATTACTGAGTGAATTTCAGAGCATGGTATTTTAGACCCCTAAAACACAATTTATCACCAGATTAAATGCACTTTAAAGGTGATCAATTTGTTGGAAGACAAATGAAAAACGGCCACCCACAGAATGAAAAATTGTCACCGAAAAGGCAGCCAAAAACAGTCAGTCCAGTTTAGACTCAAACTAATTCATGCCGATTTGATGAATTTCATCGACAGTACAATCCAGACATATCCAGCAAAAAGACAACCTAATTTGTATAAGTGTAATCTGTCAGACGTGAAATACTCTTTTGGATGAAAAAGTTTGACATCTCCAAGGCAGAATCAAATGCAGATTAATGAATGGCGGTGACTTGTCTTTGATTCACTCCTTCCTGTGTCTCTTTTGTTTGCTGGTGACGGCTTACGACCTGCAGACACGTGGCGTGCCGCTGCCGACGGTCTCTGGCGACGTTGACAGGGGAAGCACAATGGAGGATGAATGAAGTGTTTTAAATGTGAAAACTGAGCGTCAAGCGCTCACTTAGTTCCTGTTGTCACTAATGGAGGTCGGGCAGAGCTCGCTACTCATCTATCCCGCTGACAGGCAACATTTTTTTTTTTTTTAAACCTTCAGGGTGCTCATATTCCAATGAGACAACAGTTAGCATTGCTTCAGTGCAGGCCCATTGGATCCCATGAACCTGCGCTGTCATGCTAGATTTACCATTTAAATGCCTGCATGGTGCTAACGGCTAGGGTTGTACAACTAGTTGATTTGACAGCGCCGTTTAGAGTGTGATGTTGACAAGTTACTTATTCCATGTTTTAGCCGGAGGAGGAGCAGGTGATAAGTGTGCTAAAGGAAATTTGTCCATCACCTTCATAGATTTCAGTTGACTCGGATTTCTGAATGTGTAGCTTTGGTGAGTGACGGAGGAGCAATAAAGGGGGAATAAGCCAGACTCGAGACGGATCTTGAACAACTTTTTGGAAAGCACTATCAATGTGGAAGGACAGCAGGGAATCATTCCACTGGACACAATGAGGTTTGCAATTTTTTTTTTCTCAGCTTACCTTTATGGGTTAGCTCTGTGCTCCCTCTTACGAGCTCCAGTTAGGAGGCGAGCAGCAGCATTTTGGACCAACTGGAGAGGCTTGAGAGAGGACTGTCTGACTCCACAATAAAGTGCATTACAGTCATCCAGCCGAAATGTAACAAAGACATGGATTGCTTTTTCTTAGTGCTGTTGAGAAAGGAGAGGGTTACCTTAGCCAACTGCCCAAGATGGAAAAAAGCTCGATTCAACAACAGCAAAAAATTTGCCAGTTAAATTTAATTCACTGTCCAAGTTAAAACCCAAGTTGGAGACTGTTGGCTTTGGATAAGACCCAAATCAAATGTTTATAAGGGATGTTACTGAGACCAAACACAAAACTTCCAAACATTAACTTCAGTTTTCTTTTAAGTGAAATTGAAGAAGTTCATTGCCATCCAGGCATTGATTTTCTCCAGGAGGGCCAAAATGCCCTTGTTGAGAGAGCGTACGTTTTGCTCAGTATGACATCGGTCTGACTGTCAACTGCAGAGCAGTAATAGTCAAAAAAAAAAAATCATGATTTCTTTAGATGAAACCCAGGCAGCAAATGCAATGAAAACAGCAGGGGCCCCCAAATTGAACCTTGTGGAATGCCATACATCAATGGGGTAGAGCGGTATTCAGAGCAACCTAGGCTAACACAAAAAGTCTGCCAAGTCGGATCTAAACCCCTCTACAGCCTCTAGTGTCAAGTTTTATGCCCAACATACAGAAGCCAGAAAAAGGGGAGGCTATGTTTAATGGTTTTTTCTTTTTTTTTTGGTGATAATTCTGCCTTTGAAGCAAGTTTCACTGAGGAGCATGACATTGGGTTGACATGTCTATTATAATAGGATGCACAAAAAAGGACTCGTGCCAGGGATTGAACACAAAGTAAACTATTGGTTTAAAGTAGCCATTTTGTACTCAGTTGAACCCACTGGAGTGTTGACAAAGTGAAAAAAAAATTGTCTTACACCAGTTTCACTGATCACGACAACATTTTCTGTTCATGTCTATTATAATAGTATGGTTGGAAAAATCGCAAGAACCCATTTTCAGGAATTGAACAGAAAGTCTGACATTTTGGTTTGAAGCAATTCAGATAAATTCCAGGGCTGAACAAATCCCTCTTTATTTAGAGCCAGGGTTTTTTTTTGCACTCATTTCATTTTTATAACACAAACTAAATTTTGTATTAGTTAAATTGATTTAATCTATAAAGCTACAAAAATCCATCCATTTAGTCACCAACCAATCTGTCTCGAAACCCCCCCACCCCCCAAAAAAAACTAATAGCTAAGGATGTTTTGGGGGCAAAACATACAAATGTCAAAGTAAAATTGGCCTATTAACATAATATTTAGTTGTGGCCTTATTGTCGTTGGCCATAGACGCAGTCAATTTAAGAATCCTACTTTTAATTACCCTGTTGTTAAAGTAAAATAATTCAGAGGCAGCATTATTATATCTTAATTCATGACTTTGAAACTACGAGTAGTAACTCAGCTGTCATGTAATCAAACGATAGCTTGTCAAAGATGACCTTGTTGGTTTCTCGCAGCAGGACATTTTGTTCTTGTTGATCAATATTTGTCCGGCTGTCTCCAGATCAAAGTCCCGTTCTGACAGGAGTGAAGTTTGAAAAGCAGCTAAATTGTGTTTTGCATTAAAAAGAAAACAGGAACATAAAAAGTAAAAATAAATAAACAGCTCGCCTTCAAAGTAAGACGTCGGCATGTCTCGGCGAGAACTGCTGGCGGTGTGAAACAGCTGGACGTCGGCTTTGAAGAATTGCAGGCGCGGAAGATCTACCACAAATTACAAGAAGCGAAGCGAACACGTTATATTTGGCGAGTCACGTCTTATCGGACAAGTAAATGAGCGCCACCTCTTCACTTTGAGACACCGTTTAAAAGAGAAAAATATCAGACAGTCAGCATAGATTACTATGATTGTTTTTATTATTTTTAATGAATGATAACGTCAGACAATGCTAAGAAAAAAATTAAGAACTTTGTATGGCTGGACCTGAGGAGACTTCAGAATAGCTCACGGGGGTAATTAAAATCTACGAATCAGTGAGTCTGTGTAACTGTATTCATGTTGTGAAAAGTATTTTTGGTGAACAGATGGTGCTTGAGGAGTTTTTTTTTTTTTTTTTTTTCGGAAGGGGGTGAGGAGTGTTCAGAGAAGCAACATCACAGACATTAGTGGAAAGAGGTTCCATTGGCGGGGGTGACAGGGATACTGTACTGTATGTCCCTAATCATGGTGATTCCAATATCTCGATTAAAAAAAAAAAAAAAAAAAAAAACTAAAAAAGTGTCAGGTAAATTGCGGTGGAAAACACAAAACAGAGTTGCACCTTTAGTGTTTGTTAGGGAATGGCTGATTATCGAGGCTGATCACATTTTGACACATATGGGCCTTGGCGTTCTTACTCAGCCCCTACCCCAAATGATCAAATTCATGCTGGGATAGTTTTGCTCTAATAGAATTTCATTGCTCAGTGCGGTTGTTGTTTGTTTGTTTTTGTTTTTTCGCTATATACATTTGGAATAATAAGACATGCTGCTGGGCCAGGGATTTTGCTGCATTTTTTTATTTTTATTTTTAAAATGAGGTTTTTGTCTAAGATTAAAAAAAGTTGCAAGCCTGAAAAGCTGTTAATTTTCATAAACTCTTATAGGCATTTAAACGAGATTAAGTGCTGGAATTTGTATCATTCAAAATTTTGACAGCAATATTTTGGAATATTGGTTATCGGCCCGGTAGTTAGTGCGTCGACCTCACAGTTTCGATTCCAGCTCCGGCCTTCCTGTGAGGGGTTTGCATGTTCTCCCCGTGCCTGCGTGGCAGGGTAGTCTGGTTTCCTCCCACATTCCAAAAACATCCATTTTGCAGGATTTCAAAGGCGTATTTACCTGGGAAATATTGGTCGAATTCGAACTGTAACAATTCCAATATTTTGGTCGAAAAGTACATGGTAGGCTTTTCATGTAAAAGAGGCAATGCTTGTCTCTGTTTGGATTCCAACTTTAGTGGTTGCTCCTCTGTACGGGTGAGAACGTGTCAGCTGCAAAAAGAACAACTTGGCACATCTGCCAGGGTGTTAGCAGTTTGTCAACATCTTTCCGTTCAACTCTGCGGGGCTGCGACGGCCCAACCAAGCCGTCGCCGTCGCCAGTGACAAGCAACACCCTCGGATGTTATTTTTAGCTTCCTCTGGCAAGATGCTCATCAAAGTGCGTAGTCTGGCCCGCACTCCAATTTGAGGAAAAAAAAGCACAAATATGCAATGAAATCATCATCTGTCAATGTTTTTTTTTTTGAGGGGGTTTGAATTGCTCAATCAATTTGAGCCCTCATTTTCATCCCTTTTAAACACAATTATTGGAATCATTAGTCATTCATTAAAAACAATAGTCCTCCCAAAATTATTTCTAATCTCACTATTTTGTTTCCCTTGGAACAGTGATTCTCAAAATGTGGGGTGTGAAAGAATTAAAAAATTAAATGAAATTAAAATATCCTACATTTAAAATATGAAATAAAATCAGATATCCGAATGAAGCTTCTAGCTGTACATTCTTTTTTTTAAACTTTTTTTTAATATCCTTTTTTTTTTTTTTTTTTTTACCACCCATCCACATACATTTTCAAGAACAGTTCAGTAGTTATATTTAAGTATAGTAAATGTGCTTTTCTGTATTATTTTTGGTCTGTATTTTAACTCTGAATGCCGTCAACTGGAATCCCGAGGAGGAGCGATTGTCATCAACTTTTATTTTATTTTTTTTAAATGGGAATGGGCGGAGAAAAGTCTCATCAGTTATATTATGGAATTCAGTGTGCTGCACTCAAAATAGAAAAAAAAATCTGGAAAAAGTGAATGTTAGAGCATTGAGGTCGGGGTGGTGTGAGTCATCATCAAAGTGGATTTGTCGCACGCCCTTTTGTGTCTACCTTAAATCCACCTAAAGGCGCGGAGATTTCCTGTGTGCCGTCGAACATATTGTGTGCTGACAGGAGCTCAGTATCGTTTATTACACGCGCTCTTTTTTGCCCTTTTGATGTACAACTGAAATGAAGAGCATGTAAGAAAAACGAACTTTGCAGAAAATCCTTTTTTAATATACAAGATTCTTTAAGAGCAGGGAGTGTCTTCAAAGGACCACATCTGATTATTTTTTTTGAATTGACACATAATTTACAGATTAGATCAAATAAAAAAATATGATCAATACTATTTTTTTCATTTTCCAATTATGTTTTCATAATTCAATTACAGTTAACATTTAAATATTAAATGTATTTGTAACTTTATTTTTCTATTTTTTATTTGATTATTTACAGTAATGATCCAATGCTAAATACGATGCATTTTTTTCATTGTACCTGTAGATAATGAAGAAAAAGTATAACGTTCTTTAATTTTTTGTTTTAATTTTCTTGAAAGTAAATTGATTTATTTGATGAAAAATTAGTTTTATTTACAAAACAGTAAATGAACCAATTAAATCATACGAATCCAAAAATTTCAAATGCACACGTACATTATTTATTGTACTGTTTTATTTTAATATTTGCAGTGAATGAACTAATTAATCAAATTAAATGGAATGACTTCATTGTATTTAAACTGATAAACCATTTTTTCAATACTTTCCATGAAAATTGTACATGTACATGTCCTAATGAAATGGAACAATGACAGTTGTACCACTACTACTAGTAGTAGTTGTGGTACTGTAGTCGTAATAATGCCTAAAAAGACTTTTCCACTTTTCTGTCTCAGGTTCCTGCCATCTCATTGGCCTACGAGACAGCAGAGAGCGACATTATGAAACGGCAGCCCAGGAACCCCAAAACGGACAAGCTGGTCAATGAGCGACTCATCAGCATGGCCTACGGACAGATAGGTGCGTACGAATGGCGGCTGTCAATCAATGACCATCATAGCGTAGGCACAATCATTTCAGTTCTACTTTGTACATTTTTGACAAAAGCGTTTTATCCTCAAGGCCTCCTAGCACACCCACGATGAATGGGTTCGTCAACAGTGTGTTGCTAAGTGCAGTGTGAAAAGGCCTCAACTCACATTCACAACACAAGTCACAGAATATCAACATTCAAATGTTTTTTTTCTTTTTTTTTTCTCAAAGAACATTTCATGAAGACCATGTGGCGGCGAACCGTTTGGTAAGCTAGCGGCTAGCTGGGAGAAGCTAATACAGTAGTCCTAAGACTTTATAGTCCAAAAGATATGAGGCTGTATTTGCTACAACAAAGTATTGCGCAGAGGCCGACCAATATATTGTGATGTGTTCATTTTTTAATTTGAAATACATTGCCAAAAAATCTGCAAAACATTTTTGAGTTTATTAGGGATGTGAATTGAAAACTGGTACTTGGTAATTGGATTCCTCTGTCCAAAGTTGAAGATATAAGTTAAAGCAAAAAAAAAAAAAAAATGCATCGTTTAATTTGATGCTAATTGAAAATTGCTAAGATAATCGATAGCAATGGGATTGACAAACAATATCAATACTGAAATTGGAAGTCAGTCTTTATTAAGTTAGCAATTCCAATTTAAATAGCTAAATTTACTATCTTTCATATTCATTCATGGTTCCTTTCCCTTTAGTTTTGCATAAGACTAACCTAGAGAACCAAATATTTATGTATAACAAATCTGATACCGATTATGGTACAGATGAATGTATTGCTCATGTTAAAAATACATGGGAGGAGGAAGTAGAAAAAGATAATTGTATTTTAAATCACAGCCTTAATATTGGGGGCCATCACAATTCCATTATTTTTCAAAATGACTGAGCCCTACTTTGGAGTGTGGCTCTCACATAAAATGTGTAAAAAACACAAACAAACAGAAGCCTTCTGATATATGGAAAACTTCATCACCTGACGTCCACGTGAAGATGGATCAATGCCACACCATCAATAAAATTCCTAACAATCAAAAGGGGGGAACTTGATCTTCTCTCTGTTGACATTTACAACAAATTGAGCGTGGCCAATGTGACCGTATCCCACTTAATCTTGGTCACACGTACACCGGTCGGCTGCAGCCTCCCTTTCCTCTCCAATGCTGCCTTTTATCTTTCCACTGGCTTGATACACAGTAGATGGCGAGGGACGAGCGCCAAAATCAAAGGCTGGCAACATTTCACAGGCTTTTTTTAAATGGGTCAAAAGATGACAGGGTGCCACTGGATGGCGTACGGTTTGTCGCCAATCTCGAGTGACGCTAGGCAAACGACATCGCCCAACGATATTGCGCCGCGTCTTCCAGCAGTTAACGTCTGTCGACGAAAAAACACTGAAGATTAATAACCGGGCCACCTGGAGTGGACTCTCCAGGAGGCTCTTAAAAAACATGTCCATCACATGAGCCCGGCTTGAAATTAAAAGTGGTGATTGGCTTTTTTTTTTGTGGTGTCCTAAGATCACCTGTGACCATTTATTACAATATTCGGTGATGGATGCCCAATAGGAGAGGGAAAAAAAAGCCTTAAGGAGATGGGGTGGATAGCAACATTAAATGGGATGACGCTACATGACGCAGTGGATACCACACAATTGTAATGCATCTTTTATGAAAGCATCAATAATATATGAAGATGTGCATATGAACAAAAAGGCAGCGAGAATAGTCAGTAGCATTGCGTGCGACTATAAATGGATCCAATATATAATTCCGAGACACACGCATGCAGTTGTGAATGAAACCAGCAAGAGTGTAGTATACTTCGGTATAAGATCTTAATAAACAAAGAGGCAGCAAGAATAGTCAGTGGCGCTGCTTATAGCAATGACGCATTGATGAATACGTAATGGACAACCATGGCGTGGTAAATGCAACCAAAAAGTGCATACGATGAATTGTCAACAAGTTCAAAAGGGCAGTAAAAAATAGTCGGGAGCACTGCATTCAAAGAACACACGTGGCTCATATAAGTATTTGTGAATGAAACCACCACTGTACTGTATATACTGTATACAGATGAGAATGAGGATCTAAAAAAATACAATAACTTCATGTGATTTGCGAATGGAATCCGCAAAAGTGCACAATGGCTACAATGTTTCATCCATGGCTCAGGAAATACTCCACTCACCCTGTTGCACCACGTTCCAATTTCTACACTTTGGGAAGATTTTAATGGGTTAAGTGGAATCAGTTGATTACATTCTGTTCATTTCAATTATTCCCCTGCTTTTCATCACTGTGATGCCTGGAGAATTCTTTTTTTTTTTTTTTATGCGCAGACTTTGTATTTAGTGCTCACTCACTCACTGGCTGATGCTGGCGCCCGCTCCAGCGCCGGCGGTTTCCCCCTCAAATCACTTTGGTTAAGAGCGTCTGCCAAATGATGACATGAAAATGCATCAGTGCGCACTTTGATTAGGCTGACGAGCCGTGGACTGGCTCACTTCATTGGCCGCACCTGAAAAATCCAGACGCTAACATTTTGCTTTTACGCGGACAAAAATGTTCAGTGTGGATGTTTTGTGCTTGTAGTAGACAACTACATTGCCTCACATTTATGATATTGTGATCACATCATGTATAGTTTTGCTCATTTTAGAAGATACTGTACCATATTTTAAAAACATCTAGATATATCATATGTATGAAATCCATCCGTTTTCTAATCTGCTTATCGTCACGAGGGTTGCGGGCATGCTGAAGCCAATACCAGCCATCATCGGGCAGTAGGCGGGGTAAACCTGAAGTGGTTGCCAGCCATTCACAGGGCAAACAACCATTCACACTCCCACTCACACATTGGGGACAATTTAGAGTATTCCATTAACCTACGGTGCATGTTTTTGGAATGTGAGAAGAAACCGAAGTACCCGGAGAAAACCCACGCAGGTACGGGGAGAAGACGAAACTCAACACAGCCGAGATCTAACCCTGCACTGCACTATTTATTGCATCTAACACAGTAGCACAGGGGTGCCCAGAATTTTCTTACCTAAGATCTACTCTTCTAGCAACACCAACCTTACGCGATCGACCCGTTACTGCACATGTACGCATACACCCGCGTGGGCTCATGCACAGGTGTGCATATGTGCTCAAACACAATTTATTATTTTTTTTTATAACATAAACAACTGCGGTTAGATCTGTTTGTGTTTCGTCAGGTATGATTCAGGCTCTGGGCGGCTTTTTCACCTACTTTTTCATCTTGGCTGAGAATGGCTTCCTGCCGGTGATGCTGCTTGGCATCCGCATCAACTGGGATGACCGCATGGTCAATGACTTGGAGGATGTCTATGGGCAGCAGTGGGTGAGGACCACACACACACACACACACACACACACACACACACACACACACACACACACACACACACACACACGAAGCAACAGCGTTCACAGTGTTCTCGGGCATCCTGCAGACGTATGAGCAGAGAAAGATTGTGGAGTTCATGTGCCACACGGGCTTCTTCATCAGCATTGTGGTGATGCAGTGGGCCAACCTCATCATCTGCAAGACCAGAAGGAACTCGCTCTTCCAGCAGGGCATGAAGTGAGTGAAGTGAGGTCATGCTAAGATTGAAGTTCATTTAGTTGGACATTAGTTTCGATGATCGACTCGAAATTGAGTGGACACTCCACTTTGTATGCAGCTGTGATTGCTTTTTTTAAGTGCTCTATAAATAAAGTTGAGTTGAGTGAATTTGCTCTTTGCCACACCAGTGGGAAATTTGTTGTAACAGGGAAAAAAAAAATCTCAAGGACCAATATTTTAAAATTGAATAGGAGGTAGGCCAATTTGGTTATGGTTAAAGGCCATATCATACTGGGAAAAAAAATCTGCCCCTGAAGCCAGTTTCACAGATCGACAGGAAATTGGGCGGATGTGTCAAAAGTCTCGAGGACCTTTGCCCAGACTTGACCAGGGAGTCAGCCATTTTGGTTTGAAGCAGCCATTTTAAAAGAACTGGAAGGTTCAGCACCCCAGTCGGGATGTTGCACCGGGGGACATGGCTTAAAAAAAATTGAAATGGAAGTTCTAGTTTTTGATCAAAGTTAAAGCATTGGCGGAGACCTGCAGTCTTGTTGGATTACAATGGATTCACTGATGTGATTATACGTCCACAGGAACAAGATCCTGATCTTGGGCCTGTTCGTTGCGACGGCCCTGGCCGCATTCCTCTCTTACTGCCCCGGAGTGAACATGGCCCTGCGCATGTACCCGCTCCCGTAGGCTACCCGTTTGAACATCCATCCACCCAACCGGGATTTTGCCTTTAACCTCCATTATCCCATCATTGTTGACTTTAAATGAAGCCGTCTTTCTCGTGATCCTCTTCCCCAGGATCGGCTGGTGGTTCTGCGCCTTCCCATACAGTCTTCTGATCTTCGTCTACGATGAAATTCGTAAATTAATTCTGCGGAGGAACCCCGGAGGTAAGTGCGGTTATTAGCGAGAGAGCGAGATTAAACGCGTTCCCGACCTCTTTGTCTTGTTCATAAACCAGCAGAAGAGTAAATTGCTTTGGACTCGCGTGTCGAGAGCCGCGAGTGGCAATTTTCCTGCGAGAGCGACTTCACAGCGTCTCTTGTCCCGGGTCACCCTTGTGATTTTGATCAGAATCATCTCGGAAAATAAACATACTGGCGTATCAAGAGATATTAGCAAGCAATCAGAAGGCCCCCTTGAAAGGTCTTCTTTTTTTGTTGTTGATTTTTCAGCCCCCCGAAACCACTTTCACATCGCGACGTGAAATTTGGTAGGCATGTCTATTAGTAGGGACGCAGTCTGATTAATCCAAGCCTGAAAACTCACTTAAAAGATAACATTTTGGTTTGAAGCTGTCATTTTTTTGGAGGACCCTCAAAATTTCTACCAATGTCTATCATGACTGGACCCACAAAAACGATTTTTAAACCTCCATGCCTCATTTTGGCCATTTCTAAGGGGTCCGTCAAATACAAATTCTCTCTAGGGATTTCTTTCAATCCTTACTTCACCTGCAAAAAAAGTCTTAAAGCATTTGTTCGGGACAGGAAGTCTGCCATTTTGATTTGGTGGGGTGAGTGGGGGTGATTTTTAACAATGTGAAGCACTTTGAGTTACACGGTCATGCATGAAAAGCCCCATCCATTTGATTGATTGATTGATTAAAATATTGTATACTAGACACAGTGATGATGAAAAATTGTGAAAAATATTATTTTCCATAATTATATGTGGGTGAAGTAGGACAGTGAAGTGTGAAGACTTCGTATGAAGATACCCTGCCATTTTGGTTCAATGTGCCTATTTCAGAATGACAGTGTCATTTTGGCCATTCGCAGGTGTTCGTTACAAACATCTTCAATTATTTCCTCCGATTGCGACCTAATTGGAGTTACGTGTACTATAAAGATGGGTGACGCTAAATTGCAAACAGCGAGCGTTTTCGTCATTGCGTGGTGGCGAGCATGGCGGCGAAGTTTGACTCAGCACAGAACACAAGAGGACAACTCCTCGCGGTACCAACGTGGACTTCATTTGTGCGAGAATTTGATCAAGTTGAAAAATCCCATGCTAACACGTCAAGTGCCGTTTTGTCTGGAATCAAAAGTGCGAGACAAATAGTAATCAGCACAAATGCTGCGGCAGCCGCGGCGTTGCATGCTGGGAGGATTATTCAGTAGTCCAACACATACGTTCCTGGCGCAGGGCCGGCCGAGGGTCTTCTCATGAATAAAATATGGGCTTCGTAATAACTCTCGAGTGACAATATTCGAGGCAATATCAATACAAAGTGAAAGTGCCGGCTATCCAAGTTGCAAGAGGAAAAGAAATGCAAATGATACAATTTGAATCGCTATAAAAAGACTGAAAGGGCGAGCTAGCTGATGCCGTTGCTGACAAGTACTTTTTAGACCGTGAATTAAAAAAAATTGTTTGCAACCCATGTCACGAATAATCGTCTACGAGTCACTTTTGAGTCATAGTTAACTGCGCTCAATTCAATACGAATCAAAGCTGTTATTGTCAGTCTTTGAAGGACGCTTTGTCATCGTAAAATGGCAACTATTTTTATTGCATTGTTACAACTTGACTCTCCTAAAAAAAAATAAAAAAAATTGTTTCTAAACATAAACCCCAAAAGACTCTTTTAGTAAGCTCGCTACCACAACGCTCGGGAAGCTTTGACAGTGTGCTCCTCCTGGTGAAAACCTAGAGCCAAAATTGGCTCAGAATTTTTTTTTTTAACTTTTAAATTCACCATCCGAATCCAGTTCACTTCTGTTAAATAAAAATCGGCAGGCATATTTGTCATGAGAAGAACCCCAAATAGGTTCCAAGAAGCCATGATTAAAAAGACGCTGGAATTCTACCATTTTGGTTTGATGCGGACTTTTTCGGGTCAATTTCCAAAGTTCCATCAAGGACTGCTGGAGATTTTGTCTGATTCCTCACAAATTTGAACTATGCATACTAGACAGATGGGTGATGCTGTGGGTGGCCATTTCCTTTTAGCAACCTGAAATTTAGAGGCACAAAAGAGTCTCCAGAAACCATGCTGCAAAAGATGCAGGAAGTCTTTCATTTTGGTAAAAGAGGCCATTTAAACTCATTTGGGGCTTTTGAATTAGATGACTCGCCACAAGGCACAAAACTACGTTATCTCAGCTCCACAAGACGAACCAAACCAAGCGTTGATCTTCGCTAGCGGCTTTGATGCCATCTGATTGTTGTTGTGGACAAAAAAAAAAAAAAAAGAAAATCCTGCAATAATTTAACCGACGTTTGCCTGCTGGCCGTGTTTACGTACTAATCCAGCCCCACCGCTGGAAACAGATTACGCTTGTCAACAGCACGAGGAGCGAAAAAAAAAAAACAAGAGGAAATTACGCGGCGCCCGATGAAGAGTTACGAAGACGGTCGACAATGGATCAAAATTTGCGAGGCCGATGACGGCACAGGTCACAATAACAATTGATGGTGACAGTTAATCTTCTCTGTTAATGCGCGTGTCACGGACGGCTGAACGGCGCGTCTGGAGAGTTACGAGCCGATTCATTTGCAGAAACAAAAAAAGCACAGTCAGTGAATACCAAAGAGGATATGAGGTTTTTTTTTCTTTTTTGCTTTTGTTTTGACGCCTCTGCCGCCTCCTCTGTTTCTTGTCTTGCAGGCTGGGTGGAGCAGGAGACGTACTATTAACATGTACTAGACGTCAGCGTCAAAGCCGAAGCGTGTGCGTGCGCGCGCGAGTGTGTGAGCGAGTGTGTTTGTATGTCTAACAATATTTGCATGGATCAGATGACAAATATGATTAGCCTGAAAGGATCAGATGGTAATAATGGGAATATAGGATTTTGATGATGTTTGTACAAAAAAATGGGACTTCACAATGTCTTGGCTACACTGGGTTGGGTTGTATCAATGTATCATGTTCGGTTTGGCTGGGAACTGGTGGCCAAACAAAACAAATTACACCTAACTTGGGGCAGACTTTATACACACATTTGATTTGTTGTTACCTTCAATCCATCCTACCTTCGTATATCACTCCTTCCTTGATCCTGCTACCTTCCTTTACTTCATTTTATACGTCCCATTTCCTTTGTTCCTTACCCTCTTCATCCTCAATTAGGTCCTTCGTTTCAAACCATCCTTGTTTGCTCTTTTCCCTCACCCTTCCTTCATCCACCTTTTCTCATTTCATTCATACATCTCCTTTCCTGCCTTCCTTTCTTCCGTACAAACTCATCCCTTCTATTCTGCATTCCGCTGTTCTGACTGCTTTCCTCACAACCACCATCCTTGCTTCCCCCTTTTCCTTACTTGCCTCCGTCATTCTTCCTTTAAACATCTTTCCTCCCTTCCCAACATCTTTGTTTCATTACTTCATGACAACAAATGAAAGGAATGGAATGTTCAAAACAACACCATTGGGCTACACTGAAGAGAAAAACGATTTTGATACTTGGGAATGAAGTTGTATCTTAAGTTTTCTTTTTAAAGTTCTGAGGGAAATTCTTTCAGAAAAGGTATCTTAAGAGGTATTGTAATGATACTGTTTATTTACTATTTTGATAAGCAGCCTTAAAGTTATACATATTGTCATTTAACCTTAAAATCATAACTTCGTTGGACTGTAAAAATGCATTACCATTATTTTTATACCTCTTTTGTATTGTAAAATGTAAAAACACATTTGTGTATTGTGTAATGTACTACTGTATTACTTTTTATTTTAACTTTGTTTCAGAGCCAATTTATCCATATTACAGAATAAAAGAGAAAAATGAGTATTATTTTGATTCTTATATTGTTTCGTTCCCGTTTTGTTCTGAAAAAAAGGGGCTGAAAAAATTCAATGTAACAAAGTACGTCAAATCCAGAATTCTACGTCACTTCCGCTGTGGGTACGTCAAACATGGCGCTGCTACTAAGGTCAGTATGTTTGCATTTCACAATTTCTGACTCATTGGAGAGTTCTTGTGGATTTCTGACCCTATTAAAGAGACGAAGAGACATAGCAGCAGCACACTTTGGTTGTAATGGAGTAGAAACTTTCTTGCGCGTTCGGCGTATTTATACAGGGGAGAAATAACCGCGACTTACAGCTAGCTGGCTAGCGTTAGCACTTGACCAAAGTGCAGATTGTCGCTTGTAGAAGTACACAAAAGGGTTTTTGTTTTAATTTGTTGGTTGTTTTATGCAGTCGCATCTCACTTTTTAGGTTTAGTGTTGTCACGCTAATCGTCACGTTTTTGTTTATGTCGGAGTCGTTCGTCCTTGAGTGAACTTATACCGAGCTAGCGTCGTCTGCCAAGACGGCCAATTTGACATCATTCACCTTTACTTTAATAAAAACACCCCAAAACCGATACACGGGCGTCAGTAGCAATATGCTGATCGAAGTAATTTTGTATATATATGTAAGTAGGGTGGGTCAAAGGTAGGCTAACGCTTTTAAATAATTCCACTTACGTAGGGAGTGAAGGACGGTTTAGAACGATGGAAGGCAGCAAGGATAGTATGGAAAGAAGGGGGAAGCATGTAAGATGGGTGGAAATAAAAAGTATAAACAAGGATGTATGAAAATGAAGGCAGGGTGGAAGGAAACAGATATACGGAAGAAAGAAAAAGCTGGGTGGGAGTAGGAAGGAAAGAAATATATGGAGAGAGGGAAGGGTGGTATGAAAGAAAGAAACGTATGAAGCAGAGGTGTCAACCTCCGGTCCTTGAGTGCCACTAATCTGCATGTTTCGATGTTTCTCTCCTCCTACACACCTGATTTAAATGATCACGATTGTTACTAGGCTCCTGCAGAGCTTGCCGATGAGCTGATCTTTTGAAGCTGCTGTGTTGGAGGAGGGACACATCTAAAACATGCAGTGTAGTGACCCTTGAGGACCGGTGTTGGTGATACCTTCTCAGGTTTGGATGAATAGAAGAAACTATAAAGAAGGAATGATGGATGAATGGATGGAAGTAAATGAGGATGTAAGAAGAAAAGAACAAAGGAAGGACAGTCTGTTAATACTTAGAAAGCAAGGATGTATAAAAAGAAGGAATTAAGGGTGGTAGATGGTCGGAAGAACTAAGGGAGGAAACAAGGTTGGTCTGAAATTATGGCTAAAAGAATGAAAGTATGAACGTGGAAGGAATGATGAAAGGTAGAAAGGAAGTGGAGACTTTTAGGGTGTCCACCAAGTCAGACCACACACATTGGATTTAGTGATTTGTTCCTTTTATATGTTTGATTTTATTGCTGTTCGGTTTACTGCTGCCTATACTGTGCACTTGGAGATGTGTCTCCAAATGTAAAGTGCATTTTAATGAAAAGCTTTGATTCGACCCTGAGAAAAATCTTTAGAAGCCATTCCCAAAAAGATACAGGAAGTCAGTCCTCCATTAGGTTCATGTCGCCCATTTCCTGGAGTCCTTCTCGACTCAAAACCAGTTTCACCTGTGAACATGAAATCGAATAGCCATGCCTATCACAAAATACACTCCGCAAAGAGTTTCAGGAAGCCAATTCCCAAAAGACAGAGGAAGTGTGCCATTTTAATTCCAAGCCACCATTTTCAAGTGTTGTCGTCACACTTTGTCTGCAGGACGTTGGCCCGTCAGGGGTTTTGTGTCTCCAGGTCGCAGTGCGGTGTCCTCTACGTCAAGCAGTACGTATAACTCATGAGCAAATTAATGTGACATTCAATAAATTGTAGACATGTCTTAAATATCTATTCTGACTTCAGTGCTGCCCCAATGGGAACCACCGCCAAGGAGGAGATGAACAAGTTTTGGGCCAAAAATACGACATTGAACCGACCCATGTCACCTCACATTACCATTTACAAGTATGTCGTATGCACTACGCAGTGTCAAGATTTATTCACTAAATAATGAGAATGTGCATTAGTTATTCAACATGTGACATAATTTATGAAATTGGCACACATAATGAGATTACAATGTGAGCATATTCATTATTTCATGACCGATGTGTATTTTTCACATTTTTAATGGAATAAGTCAGAGAAATTGTTACTATCTGACTAACAGATTACTTTTACCATTGCAGGGTTACTCATGTTTTTTTTTTTTTTTTGGTTTTATTCCAGATGGTCCATCCCCATGATGATGTCCATTACACACCGGGGAACCGGAGTAGGCCTCAGTGGAGGTAGCACATCCTATTTTTTTTTTTTTTTTCCATTCTGTTCTCACGTGCTTGCTTAAGTGACGTCAAAACTACCACTCAATTGACCCCCCCAAAAAATAACCCCCTGGAGCAACACACAGCGTTCTTGGCCATTGATCACTACAGCAAGTGTGCTCAAAATAAAATGTCTTGGATATGTTTGCTTGCGAAACCGAGTCACCGACTGTAGTCGCGCAGCATCGGCTCTCTGCCCGAGCTGGATTCCTTTTGATTTGCATGCTGATGGATTCTTAAAAAGGTCACCGAGCTCATCTGCCAATTGGAGAGACAAATTCACCCGGCGAGCGCTCGCCTGGCCATCGCAGCGCAAACACACAAAACAGTCTTTGATGAAAGCGTCTGAAGACATCTCCTTTGTCAACAACGTTGACGTCATCAAGTCACAGCTATTGATTTTATGATGCATTTTCCTTTTCCTTTCAAATACCACAAAAAAAAAAAAAGTCTGAATCTCAGGAACAGAAAGTTCGCAGTAAAGGCCAAATCCAACTGAGCGGCGAAGATTTGTGAGAGTAGCGCATGTTGATTTATTTATATTATTATTTGTTTCTTTTCTTTTTGTCAGGGTTCATTCAAAGATGTAAAAGGTTACGAAAATGTTTGGACAGTTTTAATCATCACAGACAGATTTTTTTTTTTTTGTCGCAAGGAAATTTTGAACATATTCAAAGTTTGATGTCTTTTGCCACCTTTTAGGAACCTGGCAAAAAAAAAAAAATAGCTCTATGCGCACGTAGTGAGGTTAGTGAGATATGGACTGAAATCCGTAATTATGTACGTAATTTTTTACCTCGCGCGGTTGGGGTTTTTTTTTCCATGTCTCTCTCAAAATTCGATTTTAATATCATCCATATATGGTACTCTTGAACCTTACCCTTTAAATAAATACTTTAAATAAAAATGTATGATTTAAATTCCAGAAGTTTAACATTGATTAACTCATTCACTCCCAAAAACGTTTCTTTCAGTCTAGAATTGGCTGGTACTGAATGAGTTAACAAAACACTACTTTTTCCTCATATCCCTATAATCTTGTTATCATAAAAAAAGACTTAAATCTTAAAAAAAAAAAAAAAAAACTGAATAAAAAGTCTTGTCTTGTAATGTAACATGCCTTCAGCCTCATCTCGCTTCTCTCCAAAAACATAACTGTAATCTTATTTTTTCTTTGAATAAGACTAATTTAAAACGAAGCATCTGTTTCTAAAAAAACATATCCTGTAATTGGGCACATTTTCCCCCAACTTTAAATTTGTAATTACATTTAAAGAACACTAATTCAATCACGATAATTTTTTGTCTTTAAATGAATGCTTAAATCCCCAATACATGCAAAATAAATGTTTACCAGCCCCAGAACTGTTTTAAATCAAACTTTTCGACAAAAAAAGAAATGATTATGTCCCCTCAAAAATATGGCTATTACCTCACGATAACATTTTATTTAAACTTGAAAATAATACTTTTGTCCTGAAAAAGTAGGGCTTTAATCCACTAATTATGTGGCCCTTATCTTCCCTTCAATACACGACTTCAGTCTATTAATATTACTGCCCTTCATGTGATATGCTTTAGTTTACTTTCCAATGCATTATCCCCAACATGCCTCCATACAACAGAAAAGAACATAAAAACATTTTCAAATATGGACACAAGCACGATAGTTTTCACACGTAGATCTTGCGAAGCACAATGCCACAGGGTGACATGTATCGATCTGCGGCTCGTTTTCCTCCTCAATGACTTGTTCATACAGCACTTGATTGTATCGGGATCAATAAAGCGTCTGTCTAATTCGTCCTCACAGCCATTTCCGCCTTCGCCGCGGCCGCTCTGCTTCTGCCCGGTAGTTACCCGCACTACCTGGATCTCATCCACTCGCTCTCCGTCGGCCCCTTTCTCATCGGCCTGGCCAAGGTGGGCATCGCCTTCCCGGTGTCCTACCACACCTACAATGGGATCCGCCATTTGGTAAGAAATAGAGCACTTTTTTTTTTTTTTTTGGACCACATTTAAAAAAAAAGTTGTGTTTCTAAATTATAGGGTATTTACTAAAAAAAATCAATTATGCGATTTAGCAAGCCATTACTTATTCCCCCAACGTTTATTATGTTAGATATATTGCAAACTGGATTTATTTAATTAATCCTCCTTTAAATTCTACCCATAATGCTCCATCATGACAAAGTCACAAACCGCTTGAATAATTTCAGCAAATTTGCAAAAATGAAAAACCTTAATTATAAGATAATACAGTATTGATGGTTTTTTTCTGCTGGTACTGGGCAATTATAAAAAGTTCCATTTAACAGTCGCTGTTCAATAACTTTCAGGCTTCTACTGGAATGGGAAAAAAAAACAAAAACAAAGAAAAAGCCTACTGGAAATGCAGAACACTTTTTTATTTTAAAATGCGGCACTGGAAATGGTTGCAGGCGTGTGGTGACTCCCGTTTAAGATGAGTTGGGACGCGATTGGTTCACTCAGAAGTTATAAGAGGGTGTGCACAGTTGCGCAACCATGTGTTCATGGTTGATTATTATAGCTGCCCTTTTTGAAAATCTGAATTGAGTTGTATTGGTTTCAGATCACAATAATGGCATCAATGATTTATCTTGTTCTCTTTTTTTTTTTTTTGCACACATAAAAACCTAGCACGTAAAAAGGGTTGTGTAGCACCTTCCACCTTTATTATTAGTGTTTTATTTTTAATCCATTCTATCTGTGCTGCCTGATACCAAATAGTCGGCGAGTGGTGACCTCTGCCCTCGAGTTGACTTCATCAGCTACACGATCCCAAAGAGATCTCGATTCAAAGCACAAATGCTCTTGTTTTGATTTGCACTGCAGCTATTATCTGACGTGGCTCCATAAACGATAAACAGTTTCTCGAATTTCAAGTTAATGCATCGCCGAGCTCCGCCATTTTCCATACACTCGTGTCTATCTCTCCATACACTCGTGTATCTCTTGAATAGAGAAAAAGGCAGACACTTTGATAAATTGCGCTTGTGCTCTTCTGACGCACCCGAAGCTTGAATGGGGCTGCGAGTGTTTTTGTTAAATTATTGCGAAAATGGTCCGCTATCTTTCAGCGCAGCAGAGTGCTCGTACAAGGCGGATAAAGCCTCATTTCAATAAAACCATCCACATTGTCGCAAAATGGGGATATTCCAAATTTGCAGTCTATTTTTACCATACAGTTTTATAATCTCGTGTGTGTGTGTGTGTGTGTGTGTGTGTGTGTGTGTGTGTGTGTGTGTGTGTGTGTGTGTATGCGCATGCGTGTGTGTGTCAGACTCTTTCCGATGAATACTTCAATACCTGCGAGGCAGTTTGTTTTTCGTATTTATCCAATATTTATCATATTTCACGTTTTTATCAAATCTACAGTGGAACCTCCAAGTTTAAACGAAATGTGGTTGATTTTTTTAAAAACATTTTCTTTCATCAGAAATCATGTGAAAATACAACAAATAGCTGCCGTGAAAAGCATGAACGGTGTCAACAGGCAATAATTTGGCCGAAATGAAAGAAAACGTCTGGTGGCAAATGTGTAAATAAGAAGGCGATAGCTCTCATTTTTCAAACTTTTGTCATCTTGGTGTTAAAAGAAGTGAACCACTGGATGTAAAAACATCCCAAAACAAATCTTAATTCAAAAAAAAAATTTAAGCTCATAAACCGAGCTGTGGATGATCTGGCTTTAAATTTAAAATAGTATCTGAGAAATTATCTCAAAAATTCAATTTCTGAATTAAATTTAAAAATACCCCATCGCTTATCAAAAAGCAAATCACGATGACATAAAAAAATAAAATGAAAATCCTCTGGTGGGGTTTTCTGTTCCTTTTTCCCCAGAATTAATTTGCATCCACTTCCACAAAAATAATAGAAATGAAAATTTCCAGTTCTTTTTTTTCCAGCTCATGTAAAAATAAATGCTTCCTCATTGGGGCAAAAAAAAAAAAAATGTCCCTTTTGTCAGAACATGTTTGTGAACAGGATCCTCAATTATGTAACTCTGAAATGGTCAACACTTTCGTGTTATAAAATGAGCCGTCAAACTCCATGGCTGGTATTTGCTGCTTTGGAGCACCTACCTTGGATCAAATGTTTTTGACGTGGATCCAAATCCAGTAGTTGAGAAGCCCGTCTTACAAGTTGTGTTCATTAGAAGACCTGTAAAAGACTCAATGTCACTCGCTACCTTTCTTCTTTTATGATTTCCTTCTCCTCTCTATGTGCACTGTTTGGTGGTGTCGAGGTGAAAAACGACAAAAGAAAAAGTATCATGTGACTACAACTGCACATCTTTTATCTTTCCGGAATTGTTTGTTCTACTTTGAGGGTTTCTACTCTGTTGTCGTTATTTCCATGCTCAGCTCTCTCCTTTTTTTTTTTCCCCTCCCTTCCTCCCTCCCCATCACCTCTTTCTCTTTTCTCTACCACCCCCCTTCCTTCCCCAAAAATGCAAGTGTTGGGATCTCGGCAAAGGCTTCAAAATTCCCGAGGTGTACCGCAGCGGCTACACCGTGATTGGCCTGTCCATCATCACCACCATCGCCGCTGCCACGCTCCTGTGAGCTCACTCCGCCAAGGCCAAGTGCATTGTGGGAAGTTTGCTTTTGTGTATATGTTGTGAAGACTTGGGGAAAAAATAAAGGATTCTATATATATTTATAGATGTTGTTTGTAAAAAAATGCAGTGTCACTCTTTTACACCTCAAAATGAAACCATTGGACCTTTTTTTTCTCTGCGTGAATGTCGGAACTACATTTTCTACACACGGGCCTGCATTTGGTTTAGATTCACAACAGGACAAATATTTTTCATTTTGAACTCAGTCTGAAGCAGCTGATGGAAATTGATGTGCTTGTAAATTCAGATTTTTTTTTTTTTTTTTTTTTTTTTTAGAAAGCTAAGAAATTGACAATCCATGAGCAATTTTAACTTGCACCCACCGTTTTAAAAGAAGGCAGTTCAACCCGTACTTCTTTCAACTCAAAACACAAAGAATATTATGCAAATTTTACTGCACCATTTCTTCAACTATCTCCCCCCCACACCCCCCAAAAAACATTGCATTGAGCCTCCTCGTGACCCCATTTATGGAAGGTGAGGCCTTCAAGTGTTCACTGTGCCTTCTTAAAAGCTGCAGATAGCCTGACTTAACCTTTTAAATGTCTTCTCTTACATAAGGTGTCCTTTTTTTGCTCTCTGACGTTAGCGTCTCTAATTACTTTTCTTAAACGCTCAGTACTTGTGTGTGTGTGTGTGTGTGTGTGTGTTTCAGCCAGACAGCCATTCATATTTTAGCTTGTGCTGGTTGCAGTATCTGCTGATGTGGAGTGTGTGTGTGTATGTGCGTGTGTTCTTTTCCAGTCTTTTTCAAGATGTCGGTGTAAGTGAGGTGGGGCGTGAGAGCAGGCTGCCTGCTTTGCCGCCCGTGTGTGCCTGGGGGCGGGGTCGCACCTCCCGTCGGGGCAGCTCACATAAGAGCTGCTCCCGCTCTTTGCTTTGCTTTACTGCGCAGGTGTAATGGCTGCTCTCGCTCGAACACGGGTGCCGTCGGGGATTTCAAGAAAACAACACAAATGGAGCGTTTACCTCCGCCAGGGAGGTGATGTTTGTTTTGCGTGTCGGTTTACAGGGTTACCCAAGCATCATTTAACCTATTTGTGAGAGACTTTATATATATGTTCTTTATTTATTTAACCCCCCCCCCCAGGCCCTCCCCCCAAAACACAAGGTTAGATCGCACCAGTCCAGGATTTTTTGTGGTACATAGACGATTGAACTGAACACATCAAGGCTTTCGGAGCACTCATAGAAAATTGTGATCTGAAAACTGTCCCTGAAGGCAACACCAAACAGGATTAGGATCAATACCCAGATGAACTTCCGACTGTCATTGAATGCAACACCAGACAGACCGACAGATCAATCAAACTATTAGGACTTTTGGTGGAGTTGTCAGATGACGTCTGGTTTCCGACTGTTCCTGAAGGCAACATGAGTTTTTTTTTTTAAATACATTTAAGGACTTTTGGACCAATTGCTCAGATTAGTTGAGAGAAAGGTACACATGTACAGTTGACAGCACAAGTTTTCACTATGTAAGAATACACATGCACTTTATTTTCTCGCTTTCTGACATGAAAGCAGATTGAGTTTTCCCTGTTCGAATTAGAATGACCAAATTTATCTCTTATTTGCTCGAGGATAGCCAGATTCTGTTCTACTCATATTTTTTATTGTTCTACATTTCAATGTCAGCGATCAGTATTCTTGACAATGAAGTCATTTGCTCTTAAAAAAAAGATTTGCTTGATTTAAGATCATAATAGGAGCAGCCTAACTAAAGCATCAATGATATCGTTTCCCATGATAGTTTTGGGGAAAATATATTGTTCTAAACCCGCGCTCCTTGTGAGGATAAGCGGATCAGAAAATGGATGTTGTTCTAAAGACTGTGTTGGGATTGGCCTAAGTGAGTGACCTCCGCCCAGTTTTGACTTTGAAGAAAGTAATGGCATAGTGTCTAAAAAAAAAAAAAAAAATCTTCCTCTCATTCTTCTGGCATTGAGCAATGAGAAGTAATTTAGGTAATCCTAATTGACCTCAAACAGGATTTCATGTCAGACTTTTTATTTATTTATTTTTTAAATCTTGTGTATGCGAGTTTCTGGTTTCAAGCGTAGATGAGGTAGTTATCTCGTAAGTGCTATTTGTTTCTCCACTGGCTATAGTTTCCAATCTCGTGTCGGTTTCGATGTGTTGTTTGCCAAGAAACACGCACCGAGTGCGGGCAGCTGTGGAGCCTGTTAGCTTCTCCCAAAATGCTTTATCTGTGCGTTAGCGGCTGTCCTGTCAGCTCGTATTTTGGACTTGGAAGCTCGAGAAAAAAAATGTCACAGAATACACAATTAATACACTATGATTACACAGTTACTGCACAATTACTGGCAGTGTGTGTTTTTTTTTTGTTTGTTTTTTTTTTGATTGTGTTACTTGATACCGCAGCAAGCACTCCTCTTGAACTGCGACGTTTATTGTTGCCAAGTGGAAGTAATGAAGGTGCAGTTTTGAGTGTTGGCTTGGTGCTGTTTTGGTGTCTGCTTCTTTTTAATCTTGCCTTCCAGGCAGATGAAACACAAGGCAAACAAGATTTTAAATTTGTTTTTTCTTGGGTGGCTTCAATGTACTCCCCTGCAACACAACACTGTTAAACTCAAGTTGTCACAATGTGGAATTGTGTTGTTTTTGTTTTTTTGTGTGTGTGATGTGCTTCAAGTAGCGGTACTCAAATATGAATCTCAAGTGGCCAAAAATAATTTTTTGTCAATGAGTCAAACGTCCATTTAATGGCGCACATTAGACCACAATTTTTTTTTTCATTCCAAAGAATAACAGAAATGCAACCTAAAATAAAATAGCATTTCCATTTTGACATCAATAATTGAAACAAAACATGACCCCGTTTTTTAGTCAATGCCATCCTCTCTAAAAGTATCGGAAACACAAAGTTCTTGCATACGGAAGACATTTGGGTTTCCGGTCAAAAGATGAATATCAGACAAAAGTTGAGAATATTAGCTTTTATTTCATGCTATTTGCATCTCGATGTGTGAAACAACTCGGGACAGAGCGGCTTTTGTTTTGTTTGAAGCCACCCATTTTTCGAGAGCGCAACTGGCACTGGAACTGACGTTAAATGAATGTCATGTGAATAACATTGAAGATTTGGTGGCGTCATCCTTACTTGCAATAAATGCGAGCCCTAATTTGAGCAGACTGTTGTGTTCTTCATTTGGAATGCCTTTCCAAGCCTTTACTGCAGCCTCTTTCAATTCTTGTTCATTTCTGGGGGGTTTCTCCCTTCATTCTCCTCCTCAGGGGGTCAATTGCCAGCTCGATTGGGTTAAGGTCCGGGGATTGACTTGGCCAGTCTAAGACCTTCCACTTTTCCTCCCTGCTGAAATCCTTTTTTGTGTTGGCAGTGTGTTTTGGCTCATTGTTTGCATGATGAATCTTTCGATTAGTCATGAAATTGTTGTACGGCGAAGCTTCTCCTGATTGGTTTGGATGCAGTTTTCTGTAAAGTGCCAGACAAAAATGTAACCCATGGTGGTCGCAGCCCAATGAATTCTCAAGTCTCCGAAAAGCATTTTGTCTGGCTTGCAATTGACAGAAAAATGCATCCAAACTAAACAAAAGAAGCTTCATCAAACAACAAAATAATCACCAAAACACACTGCCAACACAACAGAGGAGGGGGTGAAAAAATGCTCTTTGGGTGGCCAAGTCAATCAGCGGACCTGAACCCAATCGAGCATGCGGTTCACATCCTGAAGAGAAAGTGACAGAAAGAAAACGAACTGAAAGAGGCTGCGGTAAAGGCCTGGAAAGGCATTTCAAATGAAGCAGCCGTCGACTGAAGTCAGTGGGTTTTAGTCATTGCAAGTCTGGGGTATGCCACCAAATATTAAGTTCATTTCATAATGTCTGTTCCAATACTTTGTCTCACTTGACAAAAGGTGCTCTGTCCTGTGTCGTTGAACACATGGGGATGCTAAATATCGTCAACTTGAAAGCTGCAATTCTCAACTTTGGTCTCATATTCATCTTTTGATTTGATCTGTGCTCGGGCGAATTGAGCGGCACAGGAATTCCCAATTTAAGATACAGGCTGAAATCCAAACAAAAGTGTTTATTGTTATATTGTTTCAGGGTGCGTGGATGACATCTTTTGTCAGTCTTAAGGTCCGTAATCTCCAGTTCATTTATTTTCCGCGCCTGGACTCGCACACTTTTTATCCGCGCGCATTCTCCTGTCCAGACTTTGACAAGCGCGCATAAGCTGAACGATGAATGAACACGAAGACAGCGAAGAGGCGCCACTCACTGACAGCTGAGGCTGGCTTCAATTGCAAAACGCAAACTTTGCAGACACCCGTCAATGTCTTTGTAGTTCATGAAAAATACAAAACGTGCTGACTTTGAAATGGTCCCAATTCCTTTCTGTCTTTTGGAGGGTCGGCGTCATTTTTGTCCTTTCCTGTTGCATTAGTTTGTTTTGGAAAAAAATGATTTTGTTGAGCCACAATTCAAAAGCGATCTAGTTTTTTTAATGCACAATTACTTTTGTCTGTTTCAAATGATTTCGGTCACCATTGTGAGCTTTGCTTTATCTATCAACAATTTGTCCTTGTGTGTAAATAGTACTCGGCACAAACTATGCTCATATAGCACCTGCCTTTCTATACAAGCATATTTGTGTATCATGAAAAAGCACTACAAATTTGATTTATACTTGACTCAAAAAAAAAAAAAATCTCACATTTTTCTTTTACAATGCATGTATGTTTTATTCATTTATTCATTCATTCATTCATCTTCCGAACCGCTTTATCCTCACGAGGGTTGCAGGGGGTGCTGGAGCCCATCCCAGCTGTCTTCGGGCAGTAGGCGGGGGACACCCCAAATTGGTTGCCAGCCAATCGCAGGGCAATGTATGTTTTATTTCATGGTAATATAGTATTATTCTTGTATTTATAAAATGTCTTGTTCATATAAAATGTGTCTATATTAGTTATTTGTATTTCTAATTTCATACGATTTTTTTCCTTTTTTTTTCCCTAATTGTAATTTAAAAAAAATTTCGACTAATTTCGCTAACTTTGAATGTATTGTTTGCTATTTTATTTTTTATTTTTGTGTCCTTGAAATTTGCCCATTAAACTTTTTATTTATTTATTTTTTATTTTTTATTTTAAATGGTGGTTTTGTTAGTGGGCAGCCCGGTTGTCCAGTGGTTAGCGCGTCGAACTCACAGAGCAGAGGGTTCAATTCCAGCTTCGGCCTCCCTGTGTGGAATTTGCATTTTCTCCCCGGGCCTGTGTGGGTTTTCTCCGGGTACTCCGGTTTCCTCCCACATTCCCAAAACATGCATGGCAGGCTGATTGAACACTCAAAATTGTCCCGAGGTGTGAATGTGAGCGTGGATGGTGGTTCGTCTGTGCCTGCCCTGCAATTGGCTGGCATCCGGTTCAGGGTGTCCCCCGCCTACTGCCCGAAGATGGCTGGGATAGGCTCCAGCACCCCCCGTGACCCTTGTGAGGATAAGCGGATCGGAAAATGCATTGATGGATGGTTTTGTTAGTTTTTGCACTCATTGAATGCGCCTCTTCAGCACCCCCTGTCAGCTGACGGTGGCGATGCCCTGACTCCAGCTAGCGGTCCTGATGCTGAGGGATGCAGCAGGAGGGGGGAGGATGCAGTGGGTGGAGTATAAACCCTCCGTTTGCGCTCCTCGTGCTGCCTGAGTCTCTGTGGCGCAATGGAATAGCGCGCTGGACTTCTAATCCAGAGGCTCCGGGTTCGAGTCCCGGCAGAGATGATCGTGGTTGTGGCATTTTTGGAAATGTGACAGTGAAAAAAAAAAATATTGCCATGTGTGCCACTCTATTTATAGATTTAGGGGATGGGAACTATCAAACGGGTGAAGAGGCTTTGTATGAGGCGTGTCTTTTCAAGATTTGCGATGAATACTAATTTCTCCAAGTGAGGGTTACGCTCGCTTCCCTGTGCTAATTTATATTTTATAAAAAGCCACCCCCAGTGTGGTGTTCACGGTGGAGTCTTCGTGTATGTACGCGTGTGTCTGACCGCGCGCGCGCCATCACGATTGCACACAAATGGTACAGCTTGTCTTGCCATCCCCCATTTGAGCAAAAAGGCTCTCTTGATAGTGAACATTGGCGGCTTGACATGCTTTATTTTTACATGGCGTTTGATTTCTGTTCTAATTGAAGCTTGATATTAATTTCTGCACTTTATTTCGTAGGATTTTTTTCCCCCCTTTTGCATTAACTTATTTTTTTTGTTGTCAGCAAGATGTATTTTCGGGCAAGACATGTATTTTTAGATTAAAAAAAAGTCCTCATTTCTTTATATTTTTCATTTAATACATTACAAATCAAACTTTGTCCTTCGTTATTTTCTATTCCTAATTGTAGTTAATTACTTCACATATTTTTGATTTTGTGGGATTTTTTTATTTAAATCTAACATTTGATCTTTTACTGTATATTGGAGTTTTTAAATGTGATGTGAATGTGGAAAATCATTTACATTTTCGACCGCAGATATAATTTGTCCTGGATAATATTTTCAAAAAGAAAAATTCTATCTCGTATCTATTTATTTATTTCCAAAATTGTATTTTGTGGTGCGTTTAAAAGGAATTCATTTTTAGTCTATTTTTTTGCAGTGTGTTTTTACGTCAGATGCAACATTTTCCTCAGTCGTCCCATTTGGGAATCCTCCCATAGATTGTTTGTGATGTCCCTGCCCTGCCCCCCGACCCCTTTTCGACTTGAGAAAAATGGACTGCATTCAAACATTTTCTGAGCTATTTTCACGTATAAGTGCTGAACAGGTGCACGCTTCAAGATCTGTCAAAAAGACCCCCACACCGCCCCCTCCTTGTTGCGTCTATTATTTTTTTGTTTCGTGCTCGAGGCAGCCGTCATCCATGCTTAACCCTGTCATGTCACGCACACGCACACACATAGACACGCACACACGTGTACACACTTAATCCACCACTAAAACTAATCCTTAATCCTCTCTGGCAAGTTGAACAAGCCAACACTGCACCCGCCCACCCTCCATCCTCATTCCCAGATGGGACGGACAACATGCAAATTCAGCATTAAGTGCATGCAAATGCTTTGAGAGCGTCACACAAGTTCCTCAGGGAAGAATATTGATTCATTTTTTTGGGGGGGGTTCCCCTCAAATATTCAGTGAACAATATGGTTATCGCCATTGTGGTTATTTTATGTTATTTTGTGACATTAATCAAGTTTTTATGGCACTGGGAAATGACAACCACAGTTGATGGTGTGCGCCTCGCCAAAAAGTAAATTTTTATGTGAATTGTTCAAAGTTTCTGTCATGGTCAATCGGCTGATTTTTAATTTAAAATGTAATTTTATATATATATCTATATATACGTATATTTTTTTAAATTCATAGGCTAAGTCATCAGATATCAGAATTTTGTCCTGCCAAATACTCTGTAGTCGAGGTTGGTCTCCCCAGTCCATGAAGTTTTGTTCCAAATTTTTTGTGGGTCCTCTTTGTGCGCCCTTAAAAAAGCCAATCTGGCTTTCGATTCTTTTTGCTGATGAGTGCTTTGCATCTTGTGGTATGGCCTGTCCATTTCTTCTGTCGAAGTCTTCTTTGAACAGCGGATTCTGATTCCTTCAGCGTTGCCCTGTGGAAGTTGGCAGTGATGTCACTGACTCTTGTCTTTGGCTGTTTCTTCACAGCTCTCTCAATTTTTCAACGACTGTTGATACCCTTGGCTGACCTGCGTTTGATCTCTGCTGCTCAGCACACCATGTCGTTTCTTCCTTCTTCAGGACATTCCAAATTGTTGTGTGTGCCAAATGTTTGTGCAATCGCTCCGATTGATATTTCCTCTTCTCTCAGCTTCGAAATGGTTTTGCTTTTCTGGAGGACAACAGTAACCATATTTACTGTTGAGAAACAAGACGATTGGGAGAATTTTCAATAATTTAAAAAAAGAGCTTCTCAGCGATGAATCGATGATCAGAAATAATTACCAATAAACTTGTAACACCTCTTGTATGTTTTTGTGCTGCGTCCACTGTTGCATGCTGACTATTCTTGCTGCTTTTTTCGTCCACCTCTATTCTGTTCCGCTCCACAATAGTGGTGATGACGTTTTATTCTCACTCACATGGACACACAACCCTCCTTTTTCTTCCCTTGGCTGCGGCCCCTGCCCGCTCTGTTCTGTCGTTGTGGGCCAAATGCTATTAAAAACCCCTCCCTCACTTCTCTCTCTCTCTCTCTCCCCCTCTCGTTCGTCCCTCCCTCCCTCTCGCTCCATCCAGCCCAGACTGTGTTTTGCTGCAGTGAGCGGCAGCCCTGTGCAGAGAAGCGCGTGAAAAGGAGGTTGCAAAACAAACACCACACAACAAGAAGAAGGAGGTAAAAAAAACAGAAGAGGAAGGGAACAGGAAAAAGAGTGGAGTAGCAGAAGAAGACGCAAAAAAAAGGGAGATCACATCCCGCGGGAGGGACGAACAAGCGGACCTAAGTAGAGACACCGGGAGGCGGGACGTAACGGTGCGTGTGCACACTTGGTAGCATTCCTGACTATTTTTCTTATTTGTGAGCGCGCGATAGCGGAGACACCTGTCACGCGTCTGCAGGAATGTGCGAGCGTGCGTGCGCGCGCGCGCGCGCACGGCGAGCATGCTCCCCTCGCTGGTGCGCGCGCGATCTCGAGTCTGTTGTGCGAGCTCATCATCATCATCATAATCCCTTTGTTTTGTTGCGCGTGTTGTTTTATTTTATGATATGGAAAAGACTCTCGCTGTCCTGTTTTTTTCTTTCTTTTTTTTTAAAGTGTCTTCATCATCACCATCAAGCGTTGTTATGGTCGGCCATTATTGTTATGCCGTGATAAAGTGTGTTGTAATACCCCCCACCGTCCGCCCGTCCCGCAGGCGCTCGGTGACAATGAGCATGCGTGCGCGCGGCTGTTTGCAGACGTTCACGTACGTGTACAGCGTGTTTTTGTGCGTGCTCGTGCGCGCGTGCGCTTGAGACAGGTGCACCTGAGTGCTGCTTTGTTAATTCCCATTAAAAGCGGAATTATCAAGCTTCACTTCACACCGCTTGCAAACACGCTTGCCCCCTTTTCCGCCGCACGACTTGCCTGCTTACACGCCAAGCCATTGATCCTTTTCACATTACTCGGGGGGGACATTTCCGCTGCTAAGTTGATGCGCTTTCGCTGCACACCGAGCGAGTGCGGATGCACGTCCCACTATCGCAGCCAAATATTTTCACAGCATGCTTCGCGTGTGATGTACCGTCAGAATCGCTCAACAGACATTTTAGCTCCCTGGTCACCAGTCAAGGGTGCGCCCCGACTGCTTCTTAAAGTTAACTAACTGGTCGAGGCTCCAGCTCACCCACAAGACTAATGACAAGCCTTGGATAAGACGGATAGTTCGGTTTTAACACTTTGGACGCCGCGCGACTTTCTAGTCCAAGGCTCACTCTTGATGCTTTTCCACGGCACATTTTGCTGTTGATAAGATAGTTTTGCAGCAGTGTAACGGATGCCACCTAGCGCTGTGCGACATTGTGTTCGTGAACCTCACTCCCCGGACTCGGTTGTCTCGGTGTTTACCGTCGGCCAAGCCGTAGGCTATGACGCAAGTTTCCCCATATTTGGACATGGTTGCTCGCCAGACAACCAGGAAGTCGGCTGGAGGCTTTTCCTGCTGGTTCGCCTTTACCTATGTTCACACGGCAGGTTAATTGTGATTTTTTTTTCTCATATGTGGCATTTCTTTTTTTTTTTTTCTTCATGCAGTGCGGACATTACAATTCTGATTTCACTTGCAACAGAAAGTTTTAATCGTAGATGGCTTTCCTTAAGCCTGTTTTGTACGATGATTTTAAACATGTCTTCTTTTTTCACATCAGCTTTTTGAGAGTCACTAGTGTAATTTTCCTTTCAAATTTGACCTATTAAAGCTTGCACAAGGTGGATTTGACCATGTGTTGTAATTCATAGCGTTGATGGTTCACAATCCACCTGTCAGCACCAAAATACGCCCCCCCCCAAAAAAAAACATCTTAAAAAGTTTATTTGCATGTCAGATTAAAAAAATCCAAACTGGGTGCACGTCCTGCAATGTGAACGTAGCCTTTTGCTGTTAGCGCTCTGCTAGCACTGCGAATTGCTGTGATACTAGCAGCTAATAGCTTGTTAGCCTCTAGTGGGCTGGCAGGCTGGGCCCGGTCTCTCCAATACTCCACAACCTTACTTCTTGCGTAGATCCACACAACAGAGACAGAAAGTGAACTGTTTTTTTTTTATGTTTGCTAGCTAGCAAGATAACAGAAGAACTAATGAGCGAGCTTGCTCAATAACAGCTGGGTCGTCCAATATGTTCGTGCCTCGTTTGTACTGTGGGTACCTACATAACAAAATACTTAAAGGAGGGTTAACTGTTTTTTTGTTTTTTCCCCAGACAGTGGCACACGCTATTTAACTTGTAGCTGACAAAAGGCACTTAAGCATGTACTGTATGAAGGAACCTATTTCAACAACAACAACAAAAATTCCCACTGAATGGATCGCATTCAATCTTTTCCCCCGTAGAACAGCTTGCAATTGATGCTTTTCCAATACCTAGCTCAATACACTATTGCACAGTTTGCTTTTGACACTTCTCCACTGCACAACGATCACTCTACTTTTCCACAGCATAGATTGCCATTCTACTGCATGGCTCGCAAGTGACCCATTTTTCCACTGCATCTTTGGCGAGTGGCACTTTTACACTGCGCGACAGACACTTTTTCCACTGCACAGCTTGCTATTGATGCCTTCTGATGCTCAGTTGATGCCATCCCACTGCATGGCAACACTACTGACGGTTCATTCGCTATTGACCATTTTCCACTGCAAGGCTCGCCGTTTGTATGCTCAACGCTGTCATGACAGGAGCAGAAAAACAATTAGAACCAAGTCATTAAGAACAAACGTAAACATAGCAAATGACTTCTTTGTGAGCCTTTTTCACTTAAGAGGTGGTTCGATTAGCCAACATGTGTACTCAAGTAAGTGTGCTGCGTGTACTCAAGTGTACTGATACTTTTGAAGAATATGACTTTAGTAAAAGTAGTCCTCCAAATAATTACTTGTTTAATGGCTATTCGGGAATGGGGGGTGGGGTGGGGGGCGGACTACTCATGCACGAACTGGTGAGTCACTTGTGCTTTATTATTCTTATCTTTTAAAATCAGCATGCACGTCAAATCGGCAAAACCATAGAATAGTACATTGATGTCCACCTCTGCTCGTTATTGATGCTTTGTCATTGCACAGCTCACTATTTCCAATCTCTGGCTCCCGATTGACCCTTCTCCACTGAATAAGCAACCATAAACACTCATGCTAACGTTAGCGTACCCAGCGGCTGTGCCTCGGTCTCCAGTAATAAATCTTGATTCGCTGTCTTATTGCGACCGCGCTACTGTTTTTCAAGGGGTAATCTAATTGCGCTTGTGGTCGAGCAATGTTGTTTTGGTCTCACTCAAGCCCCCCCCTCTTCACCACTCACTCCCGCCCCTGCCCATCATTCCTCCCCTGCTCATTACTGTCAGTTTGGCCCCATCCCTCCTTCGTCCCCCAACCCTTCCTTCAGCGTGTTATGACATAAGCCGATCGATGCACGCACGAGGTCATTTATTCATATGGCGGGCGGGGGATGGAGAAGAGCGATAACAAACCAATAACCACTCTGACGTTTTCCTGCAGGTAACCTCCATCGGGACCCCCCCTCTCCTCCTCCTGTGAACTCCCCCCTCACCCCCGCAATTGGAAGCCAACGAGCAGGATATTAGTGCGACCAAGCATGGCTTTCCCATCAGCTCCGTTATGGATTGTCAGCGTATTGACGCTACTCTCTGCGGTTTGCAGCAACGTGGTCTTTGGTGAGTACCCTCTTATACCCCTCCACCCCCATATACACACACCTCCTTAGACCTCTACTGGGGGGGCTCTACTCTCAGCATCCCGCTTGTTCTCTTCCTTATCCATTGAAGCTTTTTGCGGCTCTCCTGTATTATAAGAAGGGAAGCGCTGAGGTGGAACTAACCACATGGGACACTCCCAACACCCCCAGTTGAGCCCACCATGTATCAGGCATGTGAGTGTCCATGGGAACACACATAGGGAACTTTGGCCTCATTTTCACCACGTCGTCTCATTTAGTTCGGTACGATAACCATCTTTTGGGCGTTTTCAGCAGTGCCCAAAATATCCGATGTCTGATCGTCGTGTCATCAAATCCTGATCCGCACTTATTGTATCTTGGCAAAGTCAACATTAGCGCTCAATAGAAATCTGGTGCACGGATCAGTTTGGTACCTGAGTGGTGGAAAGCATAATCCTGATCGGTACTTAGTTATCCAACTCCTACCAAGGCTATCTGAACTTGACTACATGCTATTATGGTTCAATTCTGTAAACAAAAGCACAGCACAATGGAAACGTAGTACTGCCATTGGCAGTCACCGATCCAAACCATACCTTGACTACAGTTTATTGATTTTTTATTTTTATTTTTATGTGCTATCCGATGGCACGGTTTGCTGCTGTGAGGCAGCGTGTTCAAGTCACAGCCAACTCTTATTGTACGATGACAAATTGATCTGTTCAGCTCGGTGGAAAGGCGACTCACAGTTCACTTTGGTTCAGTACCCGTGCGGTGGCAATGCAAATCCGGATCGGGGGTCATTTTTCGTCCGTCTTTTGTCAGGGAATTGGTCACAGTGGTCAAATTACACATTTCCCTTTAGCCACATTTACACTTTGTAGCGTGGTTCACTTTGGGATGGTACATATTGTTTTGGCATTTTAACACATGGCCAAAATATCGGACGCTATTCTTGTTAGGGTGGTTTATGCAAAAACTAATCAGCAGTACTGGTTTATGTAGTATAGATATTTTGAGGCATTTCCATTTAACAGCTTACTTTTGGGCTAGCCTTTATCAGGGTACTCATCGAGGAAGCAATTTTGGGCCATTTCCATTGTCACAGTCCCTGAAAGTAATGCTGGTGCTGCATATTGGATGCAAAAGTACGGTTTACTTGTGATTTACTATTTTGTTTTATTGGTTGGCAGAGACTTGTCACTTACTTGGTTAAAATCGAATCAACCATGAAAAACTAAAGTAAGTCAAATGATTCACACATATTTCATGCTGTTTGATATATTTCTATTGTAGTGGGGCCCTTCCTTCCATTTTTTGGCACACCTTTGCAATGCAACTGGTGAGAGAAGCTTGGTATCGTTTATTTGAGAAGGCTGAAGGAGAATTGTGGGTCAATTCCGGTGTGTTTTCTAGTTTGGGTGGGATGATTTCATTTTTGCGTGTTCGCAGCTCATGTCTCAGTATTTCATGCCAAAAAAGAAATAAAAAACAACACAAAACAAGCAAACTGCTGAGCCGATTGTCGCCAAACCTGGCGGTGCGGTAGAGCAAGCCAAGGAAGAAACCCGAGGGCGTCAGACCCGTTTGATAGTCAATGAGTGCTAGCGGAGGAGCCGTACGCGCTCTGTTGGGCACGAAAAAAAACCCTGAAACACGGAGTACACACTGCGCCGCGCTATCAAACATCCCACCGCGCTGCCTTTTGATTGACACTTCATTGAGCAATGTGTTTATTATTGTGCTTGTAGCACATAGATTATAGTTTAGCTCCTTTCACACGGGAGTGTCAGGAAAAGTGGAGCCAGAACACAAGTGTCGGCACTTATGCGCCTGTGCCTTTCAGACAGAGGTGAAGGAAAAGTGGGTGTTAAAAGTCAAGCCTGTTACCCCTTACACCAGGGGTGTCCAAATCGGGTCCTCGAGGGCCGCTATGCTGCATGTTTTACGTTTCCTTCCTCCACCACACCTGATGCAAATGACCAGGAGTCTTCTCAGGCTTCTGCGGAGCTTGCAAATAAGCTGAGCATTTGAATCAGGTGAAACAGCTAAAACATGCAGGATGGTGGCCCTTGAGTACCAGATTTGGACACCACTGCCTTTCACGCTGCCACCATCCGATCTATGATACTACCTGGGAAGCTGGAACAGTTTTGTGACTTTTTATGTAAGACACAGGGGGGGGGAAACGTCTTTGTTAGTCAAGGTGAAAGGAGCCCTACAGTATTTCATGCTTAATGGAAGCTACAGAATCAAGCAGGGGTCTGCATGTGAACACAAGCCCCTTTCATACTGTATGTACAAGCCATCCTTTTCCAAGAAAATATTGACATGGAATCGGAGGATTTGATTTTGATGCATACATTTTCTGGCTTCATTGGTCACTGCCTATAAAAGTTTGGGCCTGCTAAAGTTTTTCTCAGATTCCTGTTCTGTATGAAAGGTATGGATAAAAAATCAGGAGCTGATGTCTGTATCTTGTTACTTGTGACCGCCGGGTACTGCTGGGATTTTTTTGGGGGGTGTTTTCAAGGGTAGCTGTTTTGTGCGATAGGTGTCAACACCAAATTGTGGTGGTATCAGCTCTCTTTTTACCGCCGGGACCCAGAGAGGCTGTGTGAAAGGTGCCGGCATGATAATGAGCAGTTGAACATGATCTGTGAATTTTGTGGCTTCAAAGGTAGAATCGGTCTTAACTTCCCGTCAAAGCCAAGATGTATTTAGCATTTCATCCACGTACTGGTTTGTGTGAAATGTATCAATATGGAATGAGGTTGAGAGCGACTTTTTTTTTAAACACCGCTTGTTCTGGAGTTGCTGTTCTGTGTGAAAGGTACCGATTTCTAAGGTTCCAATGTAGTATTAGTAGAATAACAGCGATGGGACGCCGGCCATTCAAACTACGTACTGGAGGAAGGAATTTCTTTTTGCGGTTTTTGAGGTTGTCAAAGCTGTCTTTTTCTGACTTTTTGCTGGTTAATGGGTTTGTGTGAGAGGTAGTGATTTCCTAACTTCTGAGATGCGTTCAGTGGCAGGATGGCTGACAGTGAAAATACTCATTGAAGACAAAAATGTGGATGTTGAAGGAAATAGTATCAGAGATGTAAGACTGATTGTTAAAGTGAGGAATCTTTCACGTGAAAAGTACCGATTTTCCAATTTCTGAGGTCGTATCATGCGCTGTACAGCAACCGGTCACACTGCCTGTTACAGTTGGTCCAGTGTCATTGTTTTTTTTTTTTCTTGTTCAAGGTGCTCACCAAAGCCAGCTTTTTCACAGCCTTTTTTTCTGTGTTGCTGTTCAGAGTGAAAGGTTTCAATTTTTTAAGCTTTTGAGAGACTGTGTTGCGCAACATCACCTATTAAAGTCAGGGATTTAAGTGCTGTGTTGTGTGAAAGGTGGGAAAAAAAAAAAGACCAACAACGTGCTCATGTGCCACTGTCTCCCCTTGGCTGCAGGTAACCATTTTCTGGTCGTGTGTGTGAGTGTGTGTGTGTGTGTGTACAGCAATAATAAAGGAGTGTTTGCACTCCAAACATAGCGCAGGGACAGGTGCGTCTTACAGTAGCGAGCGCGGTGGGACTTTGGAAGGTTATCCACCCCGCGGCGAGCTTCAAAGGAGCCGGAATGCTTTGTCCGTTTGCGTAATCGCTCCTGCTCGGTAATGGCCGCGGTTCCGTCGCAGACTTCAGTGGGCGAGCTCAACTTCGCCGCGACGCAGGTGGAACGTGGCTCCTCACGCGTTTTCCCGATTTTCATTGCGAGGGGATATCACGCATTTGCATTTTCAAAACATCTCCCCGGGTGCACGCCCACGAGTACACCCACACTTTTACTGTAATCCACGGCGACAGCCGCGTCCGCCAGTTTATGAATAATGAATTATGCATGCGGTCGTAGCGTAGAAACGGCGAGCAAAGGTGGCCGTGCGCTCCTCCTTACTTTGCTGTTAATGATCTTGGCCGGCATTCACACGGACGTTGGTGCCCGCTGGGAGGCGTGAGCGCGCATGGGCGACCATCCTTGCCCAGCTTTGGCTTCACTGCTCTTTTGCATTATCTTGTCTGTGAAGGTGAGTCATTATGCGCCGCTGGCGGTTTGACGGTGTCGGGATGAGGATGTCAATATTTGGAGGTTAGTAGCGGGAGAAGGGAGGCAAGCGTGCATTCTTAAACCGAACCCTCTACCCCCTTTTCCCTGATCCTAACTCCAAACATGAAACTGACCCAAGGAACGCCTCACCTGCGCAACAAACTCTGATTTTGACGGCACGGGTATTGATATGAACCTTGTGACTTTTTCAACGTTCGTAAATCTGCGATTTGAAATGGAAACTTTGATCATGGTCCATCCTCCCGTGCTGTGAAATCAGTCATCTTCCCACAAATCACCTTCCAAAAAAATTTGGAAGCATGAACTTCTGCAATCGGACTGATTGCTTCCAACTTGCAGCTTTTAGTACCACGTTATCTGTGGAAAAACCCTACACTCCAAAAAAACTAACCCATCGCCCTGAGCCCCAACCCCCATGCTCCAACCGCTTACCCTTTATTGAAAAAAAGGTAGGCGGCTTTACAGGACCGGCATTTCTCCTCACTGGTAGCTCACACTTGCCCTGCCATCACTGTGCTCATATTTGTCTGAGTTTGTATTTAAGACCCTTTTTGACGGTAAATGTGCCATCTCACCGGAGACAGATGCTAATATTACTTACACTAGATCAAATGCGATGACGCGTCTGCCGGGAAATGAGAACATCCGCCCCCGTTCGCACCGCAGGCAGACATTAATCAGAGTTAAACTTGCTTCTTTTCTTCATCACTTTAAGTGCGGGAATTTGTCGGAGTGCCGCAATAAATAGTCACAATGAATCGCCCGCCCCGGTCCCGCTCGCCAGTGAGTTGGCAGACGAGACGCTCGGTTCCTCCGGGGAGCTTCGCACGAGGCAACCAGGACGCACGCCAACATTTCAGCAGACGAGCGAAGGAAAGGGGAAA